GGGTTGCACGCACCCGAGGACAATGTTTAGTGTCGAGTCCCACGTAAAGTCAATTGACCCACGTTGGGAGAAACGCGTGTATAAGGTACCAATGGAGCACGCTGTCGCCCTAAGAGCCCCCATCAATGTCAGTTTCTTTTCATTCTAGAGTTTGAGGAAATGGAGAGTCAAATGGGGTTTGGTGGCGTACAGAAATCCAGTGAGTAAGATTGCACAGATACCGACTCTGCGACGCCGCGACAGCCGCAAGTGCCAAATCAAATTGACTGGAAGGACAAGCACATATATATCGGACGCTGTGCTGAATACGCCTTGTGCAGCGGCCAGGTTCAGTTGGGGCCGATTGCAGTTGCTCTGACTTTGCAGTATGAGGAACTCGGGCGCGCTAATGGCCTTTGGCCATTGGCTGGATCGGCAGAAGATCGAAGTGGCTATGATACAGGCGCTGTATACAATTACTACCAGGACGATTCCGACCCATATCATAATTCTCATTGTCTTGTTCGTGCGGAAGAGCCGTAGATATAAGATGAGCAGCGACGACTTGAGAAGCATGGCACTGGCTGAATAGAGATCGGCTACTACAATAACACCCTAAGGCAAAATGCTACGTTAGTGAAAGGCAATCCATGTTTTATGACCACACAAGGAAGACAAAGAGAGAAAACGTAATCGGGCGTACCTCGATAAACTTTGGCGTGATTGCGCTGAGTGGAACATTCCACATGTGCGGACCCAGAGGCGATCCGAGGACTACAGAAGGGATGAATAAAGTGACCAGAAACGCATTCGAGAATCATTGACAGTATACTGACCTGACATTGTGACTGCGAAATAAGCTACTACGCTTGCCTGCACATTACGTTAATCGGTGCAAATGCAAATGACTCTTTGCCAACAGAGCCTACTTACTGTGGCCGCGACGGCGAGATCTAGACCCCCATGTTGTTAGTTCTTGACCAAGGTGGGACGAGTAGGTGTCCATAGTTTGTATGTAGGTAGCGTACAATCATCAGCTCCAATGGATCGAGTAATCCACAAACGTGTATATAGTCGCGAGGCTATTCCAACTATCATAAACGGGAATAGTATCCCCAAGACTACCCTACCAGCGGGAGCGATCGAGTAGGGATTTTCAAAATTCGGCGTCACGCCGGCCGGCGCCGGGATCGCGGGAATAGTGTCGAGAATCGACGGATCAACGGGCATCTGATCCATTGCGTCTGATTTCACTCACTGGAATCAGCTTACAATGCGACGAGTGGTTCTTGCCAGAAAGAGGCACGGAATAAAATCAAAGATTTTATCGAGAAGAGAAAACCCCCAGATTATGGTGTTTCTAGGACATGAAGGGCAAAGTGGATGTATCTTTTGTTTAGTCAACGCGCCCTTCCCCACAGCGCTTTTGTTGGTCTTATACGACCACTGCAGCACAGTTTTCTTTTTGTGTGAGGCCAAGACTGGGTGGTCTTGGTGGTGTCCTTCCATCAGCACATATGTAGTCATCCTCAGCTGTGCATTATCAAGTTGACTCGATCCTATCATTGGTGCCATTCCAAGGGTCCGCATTGGACCTTTGGTCAGCAAGGCTGCATAAGGTTCGCAGAGGGATTCCATTACAGATACTTTAACGGTACATTCGGTGTACAGTCTGTGACTTTTACAAGAAGCTGACAAGTTTCAGCGGGAGGATCCCTGTTCATGCCGCCCTTACAAGAGCCGTCTGTGGGAGACGAACAAATGAGAATATCAAGTACGTGCTACCAGGCTGCATGCTCGGCATGCATGTCAGCAATAATAGATCTAGGCATACAGCCCATCCTAGTAATGTTCGCTGTCTCGCTCAGTGGGTATGGTATGTATTTACGGCTCTCGCCGCGCCCCCAAATAGCCTGCAGCCAACAGCTGAGCGCTGATTTGCCATTCGGCAATGTTGTGCACCAACGTGGGCATCGAGTGTAAGGCATCAAATGGAAAAATAATACATCAATGCCGCCCACCTCTACCGTGCGTATGTAATCTTTAGCTGTGACAAAAGGGCAAAAGTGCCGGTACCGCCCCCAAGCACCACGTATCTCCAAGACATGGTTCCTCCCCTCCCCCACTATGCAGTGTAGCTCGGGTAGCATCTCGTTGGTCCAGTTGTTCGATGCAGCTGGGGTGTACCTTTATCTCATCTGTCTAAGTCGCCATGTCACGGGCAGCAAGCCACTCACCAGCGGGATGGTATTCAGGCCCTATCAGGGTAGTGATGCATGCATGTGCTGAGAAATGTAATCGTGTGAGCAGCCTCACGTAACCATACCCAGCAAATAGGATTGTCTATTCTTTGCCTGTTTCGCAATGATGAACACTGGTCGGTACGACACACCACTTCATTTCTGACATCGATTTGGAGCATCAAAGACAACATGTTCCAATATAAGCCAATTGAAATAACTAGTCTGGTTACTCAAGTTGATGATAGTACAGAGTATCGGAATATGTTGACGTTGGAGGATAAGCCAAGTCCAAAAAGTTCTTCACCAACGAAAATGGTCTCAGTGTGGTTGTATCCCGACGCTTTCCAACTGCGCTGACCACGAGATCTTCAATCTCCCGCTGATCCTGACATGTGGCTCCCCCACCATATTTTCATGTCGTTTGCTGCAACTTGTTCAGCTAATGAAGCGAAGGTGCCCCTGAGATAGTGAATTAGTAAAACTCTTGTAACAAGGTGCACAATACTGACCTGGAATAGATTTGTGAAGGACGACCATGGCCACCCAGATTGCTTTTGAGCATACTTTTGCTTGTTTCCATAGCCATAGTAGAAAGAAATATGTTAAAATGGTAGATATTGATACGATGACTGGAAGTCCAAGGCGTTGTAAATGTGCCAGCTCCAGGCTGTTGGATGCGATATGTAGCGACATGGCTGGCATTTTGGTTTCGTTATTGATTTGATCTCTTCAATCTTTCTTGAACAATCTTGAGTAGAGATGATATAGTTGCAAAAGGTCAGGACGACAAAGTCGATAAATATACACGTTGATAGAACAATGACCAGCAGCAAGTGACATGACATAGGGCTGTGTAGCATGCTTTACTCTCTATATAGCCACGCCAGGGTGTTGATTACGTTGGAAATGTATTCAAGTACCTAGATATGCAAGCACATGCTAATTTAGGCCACCACCCATTGAAGTCTTCTTCCAGTTTCATTGTTCATTGGCCACTGGAGAATCCCTGTTATAGCCCCCACACTGCAGCACCGCCAACCAGCACCGCCAACCATCATATTGCCGGTTTTTGCGTAAATGATGCGTTCAAATTTAATGTGAAAGTTTTCTATACCTCTTTCTCTTTCTGGGCATCAATTATCCTCGTCTTTCAGATTGCTTATTGATCGTACTCTGAATTTTTTTTTTTTCTAATCCCCCCTCCACTTCTCTCCCTCCTTCAAATTTTGCCTTTGTATGAAGAATAGAGAAGACTAAGACACAACCCCACGATGGCCTGGTCAATTGAACTCCCACAAGAGCCTTATACCAGCTATCTGGTCGGTCTATTGTTTTTCTTCTTGGTGCTTCCAACATCCTGTTCCTTTGCCACACAGTGGCGTTACAGGGCTGCGGTGAACCATGAAGGAAAGATCAATAGTCCACCCACCGTTCCTTATACTATTCCCATCCTTTGTCATCTCGTGCCTTTAGTTCGGAATCCTTTTGCATTTGTGGTCAACACACTGTGAGATCATATATGAATTTGATTCGTTCGGGAATATTGAGCTCACCAATCCCACAGGGAATGCTATGGGTGGCGTCAGCCACTACGAATATGGGTGGGGTGGAAAAGCTTGACTATAGTGTCAAACCCATCCCATATCCAGGAAGTGTTTGCTGCCTCTAAGCAGCTAACAAGCAAGCCGGCTGTTTTGATAACCATGAAACTTCTCTTGAAGACGCCGTCTCGAGCGATGCCATTATATGAAGCAGATGACTCGGGAATGGCAATCAAGCCTAACAAGCGAAGCACCGTCGCACATGTAGACAGGATAAATTTTCATCAGGCCAGGGCGGCTCAGAAATTCCTTTCAACTCAACATCTCACTTTTCTCAATGAAAAGTACCTGACGACATTCGAGCGTAACTTGCAACAGCTAGGGTCGCACGACACAGATACCTGGGTGGAATATCCTGACTTGTACGCCTTTCTGCAGACGAACATTACACGAACATCCGTGGAGGTCTTGATGGGCTCCAAGGTGTTGGAAATGAACCCAACTTTGATTGAAGACTTTTGGGAGTTTGATATGGCCGTGCCTTGGCTCTTTCGCGGGTGGCCACGCTGGTTTCTCCCACGTGCCTATTCAGCACGGGACAGGGTTCTTGATGCTATCAAAAAGTGGCACGCTCACGCCCATGCACAGTCCGACTGCACCAAGCTAATGGACGACGATCCTGAGTGGGAACCTTACTTTGGCAGCAAGCTTCTCAGAGCGCGGCAGGAATATGCCCTCAAGATGAAACTCATGGATGCAGACGCCCGTGCCTCTGAAGATCTTGGACTCTTGATGGCGTAAGTTATTCGTTCACATATCCTGAATCAGGTTCCTACCCTCCCTCCACCAAGACTGACATGTAAGCAGTTCAAATGCAAATGTAGTCCCCAGCGTATTTTGGTTCCTACATGAAACCCTGACGGACTGCAGTCTGAAAGAGCGCTTAATGGACGAAATCAACTCATGCAATGGCCCTTCTGGACTCGACCCTAACAGACTGGTCGCCCAACCGTTGCTACAATCATGTTATGCCGAGACACTACGGCTTCGGGTTACAAATGGTATGGTTCGGCAGAATGACTCGGAGCCGTTTGTCATGGGAAACGGCTATCGGGTTCCAAAAGGCGAGCCAATGGTCATTTTCACCCACCACCCTTCTCTCAACGAGGAGTCTTGGAATTCGACCAGGAGTTCCTCCACAGACGTACCCCTGACCCAATTTCACGCTGAACGTTTCTTGGTCCCTGACGATACGGTTGAAGAGAACACAAGTAATGGCAATGTGCCCGGAGCCGACGTTGAAGGCGGCAAGTACAAGTTTTCACTCGACGGCCTTGCTGGACTATGGCTACCTTATGGTGGCGGACAACGAATGTGCCCAGGCCGGCATTTTGCCAAGGCAGAGATGCTCAGCACCCTTTCATTGCTTCTAAGTCAATTTGACTTGGAGTTGATGGATACTGACAAGTTCCAGCCAAAGCCTGATTCAAATTGGTTTCCGACTGGAGCTCTTCCCCCTGACTGCAAAGTACCTTTTCGAATGAGGAGAAGGGCCAAGGCAACGTATGATATCGACGGTTAACGAGATGATTCCATGCACGTGTGGCATCTCCACTGCTGTAAATATAATGCATAGCTCTAAAACGGCCCCTGGCTTATTAAAGACGAAGCGAAGTGGACGGAATGTCGAACTTTCCTATGTTCGCGTGTCAAGAAAAGTTGGTAGAAATTGTCATGACAATCATGTGAAAAGCAAGCTTAGAAACGCATTTATTGCCAGGCACTTTGATGTGCTACACCAACACTGTCTTATTCATGTTGAACGATGATAAAAACTCTGCACCCAGCCTTACTGTGACCTGAAATCACAAGGGGAACTTTGGCGGAGAATGAGGGAGAGGACCTGTCGCACAGCCGAGCTGCAAACCACCACCCAAAAACGATTGCCAGTGGACGGAATGATTATAAAACTCAAGATGACATTACCAAAGCGGCATTATTCTTTCAAGGCTCTTCATCCGCGTGACTCCGAGCTCATAGAGTGTTGAAACATTCAATTAACAAACAGGTGTTGTAATATTGAGCTGAGGAAGAGAATGTCTAGTAGCTGCAGCTTCAACTGCCAGCGCGGCTCGTGGTACTCTGTACACTAGATTCACTGGCGCGGGGATGCGATGGCGGGGTGGGTTGGGGTGCTAGGATAAGGTTGAATAGTGCTAGCGAGACTCTCTTATGATCATAGAGTTGTTCTAATACCACCAAGATCTTAGCTGTACCTGTGTAAAAAGAAAAGAAAAGAAAAAATGGGGTACAGATAAGAAGATGATTGCGCCCAGCTTCAATATAATTGAATATACGGCCTTGAACTACTTCAATCCTCACTATTCACCGGATGGAGGCCGACGAAAATCTCTGAGACAGTCATGGTAGGGGTTGGCCACGTGAGACTCGAAAGTATAAAACTCATTTCAATCATCACGTGAAGCGACACTGAACCAATTATGACGACGGTAAGTATAAAAATCCAAATCCATGGGAGTAGCAGCGTAGCAATAATATCCGGCTCACCTGGCCTGGTTGCAGAGATTCTAGACCCGGCAGCAGCAGCAGATAAACTATCGCATCATTCATCTCGGTACAGAGATGCGGTCCGCTCGTTGCAGGACCTTTCAAAATGCGCTGTCGGGCTGATTGTTACAAATAAAGGCTCGGCCTGTCAAGCGATACAACGTGATAACAGATTGTCGGACGGCAGCCATGCCATCGTGAGCCTCCAGATGTCAGTCAGGACAGGCGCACGTAGACCCGGGGTGTCAATATCGATTCTTTATGCTATATGCCTGTCGATGACCCGCTTTGAAGCTGCGACAATAATATCTGCGATTCGGTAACAGCAGCTCAAGTTCTGCTGGAACATGTTGTTGTTTTGTAACACGATAGATTAAGGTTTACTCTGGAATTGCTCTCTGGAAACCCGAACGGAAATAGAGACCTGAAGGTTGGGGTCCATGACTATTGAGTGCTTAGTCTTTAAGATGTCTTGGCATACGGCTTGTGAAATTGGTCAAATTGAGCCGTTGATTCGCGTACTGACGATATAAGCTAGGTTAGCTGGTTGATTCAGCAGTAATGGCATGTCGCCCTGTGTATTCTTTCTTGACAGCGCATCACTTTGTCCTCTCCGTCGCATGTCAAAAATGAGGTTCTCCAGACTTGTCAAAAGTCTCGGCGCTTGGGCGTTGCTCAGTCGTGGTGGTGCAATTGCATTGGATTTTCAGGACGAGACGTGCCAAAACGAACTCTATCTAAAGCTCGCTCCCCTGGCGACAGATCCCTGGGCCAAACAGTTCTGTTCTGATAAATACCACAAGACTGACACTTCTCTTGTGACTACTTTTATCACAGCAACCTCGGTGTCGGATGCCGTGACTACCACCACTTCCACCACATCGACTACCACAACTGCAACCACAACAACCACCTCGACAAGTACGACAACCACAACAAGCACTGCCACAAGCACTACTGTTACCACTACAATATCCACCTTCACAGTGACTACGATAATAACTGGCACATCGGCTGGAGTTGATCCTGATCCTGAGACCACATCGGCTGCAGTTGACCCTGAGACTACATCTGCCGACGTTGAACCTGATCCTGAGACTACATCGACCATAGTTGTTCCCGATGAGACCCCATCGGCCATAGTTGATCCTCTCACCACAGATTTACCCAGGAAGCGATATGCGAGATGCCACAAGGCAAAGCCAACCTCTCGAATCAAGCCAGGTGGTGGTACATCCGGCGATAAACCAGACCCTTATCAGCCTCATTTCAAGCCTGCGTCTGATATTCCATTCAAGGGTGACTTGGGTATTCCGTATTCGGACAGTCAGAATTCGGGCTCAGGAGCGGCGCCGCATATTGGCCCTAACAAACCATTCCACGACAACTCACCCAAATATCAGCACAATAAATGGACACCAGATGGTAACCTCGAAGGCAACGCGGCCCCGTATAGCTACGGCACTCCAACTCAACACTCCCCTTCCGATCCGACTAGTAACGGCTACTCATCAGATCCCAAAGCCGAACTCTACCAGAGCTTGTTGTATGCACCAGCTGCTACTGCGAGCAAATTCTGTAAGTAGTTTTCTTTCTCCTGACACGAAATGTTTGTCTGAAAATTCGAAGAGCCATTCAAACTCATTCCAATTAATAATCATTACTCATATTTCCTTAAAGGTTCCTGTTACCAGGCGACGGAGACTTCTACGTCCACCACGACTAGTACGGTCGCCACAACTGTGATAACCTCTGGTACGGTCACGGACATTGTGACTAGCACCATAAGCACAACTTCCACCTCGGTAACAACGACGACAACGACTTTGACGGTGCCAACCACTACAGAGACAACCAGCACGACCACTGCGAGTACGACTGTGACGACCACAATCTCGGTAAGTAAAATTCCGATTATTTTCCCCTTTCGAGCTACACTCGCACAGACTTGATCTGCTCTCAGCTGTGTGCAATTCTCGAGGCAGAGTCGTATAAAGACCCAAGCTGACTCGTCCACCCCCCAAAAATACAGGTAGTCCCAGTTGCCATAGACTGCCCAGCCCTTGCACCTGCGTACTCGTCCGCAAATGGCAAAGAATTCGACATACAATGCAATGCATATTATGCCGTGTCATCAGAAACTATAATTTTCAACACCATACTTGCGAATTTTCGGGCATGTCTTGAACTGTGCTCTGTCACCACTGGATGCCAAGCTATCACCTACGTAAAATCAATAAGTAACTGCTCTCTGCTGACTGAAGTCATAGGGGGGAATCTAGATACCCCCGACTACGATAGAGCGGTGATCATCTAGCAGTAAATACAAAATGCAGGGAAACAAATGTTTACCTGAATAGTTATTATCCATTAATTCACACATTCTATAATTTATTTGAAAAGAATTTATATGCAAGCTTTCGCTATACAATAAGAAAGAAAAGAGAAAACAAAGGACATAATTTGATAAAATGAGTGGAACGGACGACGGTGTAAGAAAATATCAATGCAATACGACTAATCCCTAGGTTAACTGGCAATTATCAACTTAGCTGTGCGTGTGCGTGAGGAGCTAGTGAGGCACTCTTTATAGTGTGCCAAAAGTCATGACATTACATGTAATGTCAAATTTATGGGAGGGGGGTTCACCACTGCACCACAAACCTTTTGGTTAGATATTATCTTATGCTGTATCAGCACTTATTTAAGAGGTATAAAATATTTAGTACGACAAAATATTTGAAATATTAGTATTGAAATTGGCAAAAAAACATACAACACCGGGGATTCCCCAGCCGTCACCGATCTGAGTACTAATCCAGCCGTCACCAGTTTGACTAGGGCAGAGCGGACGGGATGCCGTATTTTCTAGTGCGTATGGTCGTATGTGAAAGCTCTTGAGGGAAAAACTCTATATCTTTACTAGCTCAATACCATCACACTTACCGCACGATACAACCAGAAATGGGCCGATCGCCAACCTTGCAACCTTGGAGCGTTCCGTCTCATCCTACGTTTCCCGTGCTGAAGACTTCCATCTTGACATTGAATCAAAAAAGTTCGACATGCGACTACTACCAGCCATGGCTTTGGCATTTTCAGATCCTATTTCTGGCGTTGTGGTACCAGATTCCTTGCCTTGAATGTTTTCCACCTTTCTGCGCTTGGCCATGCTCTTGTCAATACCTTCATCAGGATTGGAGAGGAGCGCTTGCCCGCAGTCTCGTTTTCCCGCTTCATTCGGACTCGAAAATGACAAGGGAGAAGGACTGCAAGCACGGTCCTGTGTGTTATCGGCACTGCCAGAGCTGATGCTGCTACCCAGACCGCTGTCGCGTACCGAGCTTTCAATTTCCTCAATCTCAATGTCGGGAGTTCCCTCCTCGGGCTGGCCATGATCTTTCCAGCGAAGGGGAAAGCGGCGGCTGTGTCCAAAGAGAACTGCGCCCTGAGAAACCCGTCCCAGGTTCAGGTTTATCGGGCTGCTCAGTCCCCTGGTCCAGAACTTGGGCATTGACGATGGAAGCAATACTTGCATTCGCTCGTGCTTGGATGGCGAGCCCTTGACGCAGCGGCAGGCCTCGAACGTCTTGTCTGGCGTGTGCCAGTAAATGTCGTCAACTAGTCGCCAAGGACTTGTTTTTGTGCTGCCGCGTTTCTGTAGGATTTCCTGGAGCTCCGAGACACACACGGCCAAGACATCCTGGCCCTTTGGTACTGCAACGCTCCATTGACACTCTTCACAAGACTTTGTCCCTTCAGACTGTATAGGCTGTACCAGTTCTCCAAAACCAGTGCCAAAGAGAGTTATGGCATGTATAGCTCTTGTAAAGTCGACCCAGCCCCGACCGGTAGCTCTCAAGGTTGTCATTCGCGGCCAGAACGGATCTTCATCAGTCGCCACGTCCATGAAATCGAAACCTTCGAGCTGGCGACGTGCAGAGGTTTTGAGACGGAATCCAATACCGTCTTGTGTTGATTCATCGGCCTGGTGTGCCATTATCTGCTCCAGAACATCGCTTATACCCTGGACTCTATCTCGGAAACAATAGTATGTCTGAGTCTGTGTCGTGACATGCTGAGCTGCGCGTGATGTACCAAGGATCGTTTCTTCTCGAGATGTGACTGGCTTTGAGTAGAGTGGGAGGCCGAGGTTGTGGGGATTTGTAAGTACGTGGATGGATGCTGTCTTGCCTGATTGATGTTCTTGAGCCTCTTGGAATGCTTGCGGGTCGTAGAGAAGTAAAGACTTGAAAGGGTCGGATGCATCATGTTTGAGTGACGCGCGAACAAGATGGAGGAGAGCACTGGTCCCATCGACCAGCCATGCCCTGCGATCTCCGACGTCGTACAGCACGACATATTTCTTGGCAATCCACTTGAGGCGCATGGTGTAGTCGTCCCTTGATCTAATGTGCACTGCTTTGTCCTTCTTACCCAGCACACACGAGACGCCAGCAGTAATGTAAGAGCCGCCAACGATTGAGATCTTCTCAAGAACACATCCAGGACTTGGTGGTTTCAAGCTAGACCATCCAATATCGTATTCCGCGCTTGGCCCCCCTGGAAATTCAGTTAATAAAACGCAAGACGGTCTGAGGAATGGAACAAAACGTACCAGTGACATTCTTGACATTAGTAGACCACCCCACTACATGACGGCATCTTTCAATGTCGGCGGTACTCAGGCCTGAGGGAGCGTTATCCAGGAACGGCTTCAGTCGCTCGTCACAATACGACATATACTCGCCGTCTGAACTGATAATCATATGCCAATATATGAAGTCGTTAACTCGATACAGAGGAACGAGAGCAGCCAACGCTGTCTTGAAGAGGGGTTTTCCGGTGCACTTTGAGAGTTGGCGTGTTCCTATGAGTTCTGCCATTGTTCCCAGGTCCAGCTCAATCCCTCCGCGAGCTTCAGCGTGCCTGGGAGTAGGATAGCCGCTGACTAGGACTGGATTTCGGAAAAGCTTCATCCAACAGCAATTCCCAAAGTCGGGAGTTTTAGTCCAAGACATGTAAGACATATTGGCGAGTAACCTGCAGTCGTTCCCCGCCATGGATGTGGATGTCTCTGAAGTGTTTTGTTCTAGGGCTGAAATGAAACAAGTTGGAACAACGTTAATGATAGAGTCATCTTCGGGAGTTGCCCAAAACGCTGCTTGAAGCCACGCCAACACTTCTCCAACCTCGGCTATAGCAAAAGCATTGCCAACAGCTAGGATCTCGAGTCTGCGCCCTGTCGCGTCAATCTTGGCACCCAACTGGGTATCGTCATCGAGAGTGCCTGCAAATATTGTAAGAAATCAGCCTTGGTCTTCTGTAGGATCGGATAATATGGGCTTCACTAACATGAGGACAATGTCCCAACCTCTCGGCGCAAAAGATGAGCGAATAGCTCAATTATTCTTTCTCCACACTTTGGCCACAGTGTTCGTACATACTCTAGACAAGTGCCCGCCCAGGCTTGATTGTGTTCACCTGTTAGTACGAGGACTCGTGAAAATGCCTCGTGAGCCGGCAAGTCGTATTGCTGTTCTGTGAAGAAGCCGCTGAACCAGAGTAATCGAAACACTAGTCTGTGCGTTTTGGGGGGTTCCTTTCGAGATATCTTCTCTTGCCTACCCAAAGCGGTGAGAATTTGGTTCTTAATGCGAGCCTGTGCATTGTTTTTCCCGACTATTTCTAGTTGTATCTCCCGCAGCATAGCGCTCTGCAGCCACTCGAATGCCGTGGAATGGACAAGAATGCTACGGTATGCGTGGAGCCTTGGGTACTCTTCGAAATCATCAGTTGCATCGTACTCTTCATTCCACGATGTCTTGTCCTGGGCATTGTCATGAGGCAAGTCTTGCTGCTTCTGCCAGAGAGACACCTTGTCTATGGTTGACATTTCGTTGATTTTTGGTAAGTCTGGTACTTCATTGTCGTCTTTTTCTTCTTCTTCAAATGCGAGGACTCTAGACACTGCTTCAGTGATCTGCCTAGATCAATGTGAGCTATAATGATCAATTTCATGTTCGTAATCCAATGATTCACTTACTCTCTATATTTGTGCACAAAGCACGCAAAGCGCATTTTAGCCGGACCAGACTCATTATGCCCGAGTCTGATTGCGAAACCTTCCAAAAGGGACGGCAATGCGTTTCTTAGGGTCACCATCAGCTCCTTGGGGAGACTTCTCGGTAACGCTGCGGCTAGCTCCTCGGCAAGCTCGGATATGAAATATTCCAATTGGTTTCCATGGATATTCGAGGCCTTTGAATGCACTGTACGTTCTTCTGTGGTGTTCTCAATGGAGTCAACTCGAGCACTAGTTGACGCATCTCGACTCAATTTGAGTCGGTCTAGTTTTGCCTGGACGCTTCCATATCCAGAGTCTGGTGCAAACTCGGTCGTGTCCAAAGAGTGAGCTGGAGTGGCCACATGATCGTCAGTCGTAACCGTCGCTTTCGAAACGAATGTTCCATACGGCGAGATGGTCGGAATGGTGAAGGCGGATTTACTGTAGCTTAAGTGGCCCCCTTCCGGTTGTTTTTCGTATGGCGTGAGAAAATTTAATGTAAATTGACTTTCAAACGCTGGGTTGGGGAAATCAGGATCATATACTATACTCCACGGTCCGTGTAAGCCAGAGTTGTTCAATGAGGCTGGAGTCTGTAAACTTGAGGGGTTGCTAGTCCATGGTGATTCTGTTTCCGGTGCACACAATCCAGGATCACTTTCTATAGAAGGGACTGGAGCTCTGCCGGGGTCGCCTCCAGCTCCAGCTCTCGAGCTTTCAGGATCACTCTCTCGTTCGCTTTTCTATGCGTTAATTTATACTCAGTAGCCTCGGCAAGATAGCCTAGCCAAGAAGAGAACCTACTGCCTGGTTATATGACGAGCCAAAAGATCTGCCCGGTGAAATGCTTTTTGGCAGCCTGGATACGAACATGGGTATTCAGGTGCTTGGTGGGTTAATTGGTGGCGTCTGTAACAATCTCAATAATTAAATTTCCAAGAATTATACAATCAGTGATCGTACCCAAGATGTTCCCGTCTCGTAAATGTCTATTATCTCGATATCAATACGTTGAATGCCTTCATTTGCTATTCACCGAGAGTGACATACCTTTGTGCATATTTCACAAACATGTGTAGGGATGCCCTTCTTGGGTTTTGATACCCGACCAGTCACGGGGGCTTTCTCTTGTTGCTCCTCGCCACATGTTCCCACTGGGCGAGCGGGAGCGATTCCTTCAGTCCCTTGATCCATTTAGGCCAGAGTGGCGCTTGCGATGAGCCAAGGCCAGAGCAGCAAAGTTGGCTTGTTCAATAAGTCTCTCTGTTTGAAATACAAATTTGGTCAGAGGAGAATATGTCCGTCACAGGGACACGGTTGGATGAAGAATTAAAAGTTTTTGAGCCGCAATGGTCAAAGGTGCGGGGAGTCAGCTTTTGACCTGGGATTCAGTGGCTGTGAGGCGGGCGCAGTACAAGGGGCTACACGGCCTGGCCAATAAGCAGGATATCTCATGCTGCAGTATCATTTCAGAGCCTTCCGCTCAGCGCATCCCTCGTACTTGTGGCTGAGTAAGGCGGCATGAGCCTGTCATGATTGGCCTGTCCAAAGCAGTGAGCAGTGGCTCCTATGTACAAATTCGATGTACCTAATTGGGTCACTACTAAGTCGTGGATGGAAGCTGAAGATGAATTTAGTGGTGAGAAACACCTCAATTTCTATTACATTTTGTCTGCGCGGGGAAAGTTGTCAAGACCCCTGTCAACCCAGACCATGTAGTGGTTTTTCCACAGCTTCTCGCCCAAAAAAAAAAAAAAAAAAAAACCAGAACGTTGATATTTTTGTTCAATATAATTCTACGTCTTGTTGCTGTCAACTCTGATCCTGAAACCAGTTACTGAGGAAAAGAATAACGGATGGTAGCTTCTCACATGGGATGCATATGTTATGGTTTGGTTTGAATTATGAATTAAGTTGCCATTGTCAAAGTTCGAGCTATGTACTAATACAAGAGTTTGAAGCATACAAAAGGTACCTTTAGTCACTATGCTCCCCCTAGCTAAAGGCTCCCTTCGAGCCAGGGTATTGGTTGAACAAGGAAGAGTCATACTTTTGCAACTGCGGGCATCCCAGAGCCGAGATGACAGCATTGAGCGGGCCAGCCAGCGTCTGCACGGCCTTGGCCACATTGCCGACGAGACCACGGAGAATGTCGGGCGACGCCATGCTGACGGTCTGGAAGGCGAGGCACATGGCATTGTTGCCCTCGAGGAGGGTCTCGGCGTTGAAGACGCCGCTGGTGAGGCTCGTGACGTTGACGCCGGTAAAGGTGTTGGGCTTGCCCGTGTTGCCGCCGAGCACGAGCAGGTTGGGCAGGTGTCGCAGAGCATCCATGGCGTCGAGGGTGAAGGCGGCGAGGCCAAACTCGTCGCCAATGGCGCGGCGGTACCACTAAGGACATGACATGGTTAGCTGTTGCATGCTTAATCGCTTGCAGCTTGCAATTTGAAAACGGGCCCAGTCTATGCTTACGTTGTCAGGGACGCGCTCGTGTCCGGGGATCCATTGGAAGGAGCCAGGCTCGCCGACGACAGACTCAAATGACTTGAGGGTTTCACTATCGAGGAAGCCCTCGGGATATTCGGCAGAATGGTTGGCAAAGAAGCGGTACGTGAAGACGTAAGTCGCGGTCTGGACAGCCAGACCAGTAAAGGGGCCATTGAAGAAATAGGGGTTGGTGTTGACAGAGTTTTGGAAGCGAAGACCTCGGAATGGGTGCATCACTGTGAGATCATATCCATTAGGGCCCTGTGGCATGTTGTATAGGGTCTCGAACTGGCTCATGTTCAAGGAGACGGGGTCACCACTAAGTCACGCTGTTAGCAAGCTACACTCATTGACATACGACTCTATAACCACATTGAACTTACGTGATGTAAAGATCAGCTCGAGTGGGTGATACATCAGACTCGAATCTATTGTGAGAGTTGCTAAGGCCTTGAGGCTGACCAAGAAGGCCACCAACACCAAGCAATGCACTGCTTGGGGGCTTGCCACCAATCGAGACTGTTGCGAGGTCTCCCGCCATGACGGCAGAGTATACTGTCAGGAAAGTCGCCAGGTCGACACCCATGCCAAACACTTCGCCCCATTAGTCAAGAATACAGGGACCATGATGGAGATGGCTACCAACATTCGACGGACCCATTTATGATGTCCAACACGGTTCCGACACCATTACGTGCCATGTAGCCATGGTTTGCAAGTGTGTTTAGACCAGGGCACGACCCTCGGATGTCCCCGGGGCCTGGTGCGATCTGTAAGCTTAATATCAGCCTTTGTCGTTTGCTAAGCATCAGAAAGAGAAGTATAGTGCTTACCCACGCGTGATCGCCGGTGGTGTCTATCCGCTGTGCATCTGCATCGAAGCCCGGCTTGATGGCATCGATACCCGCAACACGCTTCGCTTTGACATCCGCGGAGATTTTAGCGGCCAGGTCGTTGATCCTGGCCAAATCTTCGTTGGACAGGTCCGAGTTGATAACACTCGTGGGAAAAGCAGTCGCACATAGTGCTGAAAGGGCAATGCCCGAGAACAATGAAAGTCTCATCGTGAGGGAGGATGAAGAAACACGACGTCTCAAAAAAAAAATTGCTGGATGAAAGGGGGGAGAAAGGAGCGAATCAGCAATGATGCATAACACGGCAAGTTTGCAGTGAGCGATGGGAAGAAAAGTCCTGCCAAGATCATCTCGGATGGGAGGTCTTCCGTTTAAATGTCCAACCGGTGATGTTAGTCCTCACAGCTATAGAATAGCTCAGGGACGTCCTGATTTGGACAGAGCGATCGACAGGTGTCAGGAGCATTTGCCACGAGTCTGAGCCAATGGGCAATTTCGAGTTACAATCAATCACCATACAGCAATTATCCAACCAATCAATGTGTCTTTTCATGACACTATGTTCTGCTGATCTTCAGGTCTGGCGATATTATAGTGTCGTATATCGTTCCTTGACTAGCCCTAGCCGCCTCCATGTGGAAAGATCCGGTGAAGGAGTTTAAATTGGCGTGGTGTTTAAAAGTTCCAGGAGACTCAACTACACTGTAATGGGCACACTAAAAGTCTGGAGGATTCAAAGGGACAATCGAACAGTCTTGGCAAACTAGCAGTGGACATAAAAACTTTCAAGACGGTTCATGAAATCTGTGGCGATAACTCGAGATGCTGAGTATGGCCAGTAGGTGAAAATTCCCGTCTCCTACTTGCGTCCGTTGTCACTGAAGTGGAAGGAAAAGTTTCCACTCCGTCATTTTTATAACTACCTCAAGCCTACAGATGACCAAGTCTTGGTCTTCAGGGAGTTCTTTTGCTCCAACCCACTCGGGTGGATGGCGTCAGGCAAGGAGAACCCTCTGGTATCGGCAAACGTGGCTCTATTAGTCGCTCAGCGGGCATTCTGCCCTGAGCTAATTTGGCCTTTTGAACCCTTGGGAATTAGACTTCCCAATCAAGATCGCTACTCTTGATTCTTGTAAAGAAATGAATCCGTTTTCGGTTTTGTTAGAGATCATGCTTGCTTGATGCAAATTTGAAATGTTAGCAGCCGCAATTCTTGAGCAGATTCAATTCACTATCTTCACTTTGTTTCGAGGCATTTCAATGATTGTTTTATTTTTCATTAGACTACTTCATTGTATGATATTTAGTATACTCATTATCTTATGCAAAGGCTTTATCTTCCGGAAATTCTCGAGTCGTATATGCCTGACCTGGCAGCGAGCCATCGTGCAAGATACTCCGACTACTCTCGTCGTCTGTGCCTTCTTGCGACATCCGCCGTTGTGTATCCATTTTTGGCATGTCGGGTTTGATAGAGATCCTGGATAGCGGTACGCTGCCCCGCCTGGCCTCACTGTTGCCGGCTGATTGTGCTGTACGCCTGCTCTTCCCTGATGAGCCATATCCGCCCACATAGCTACCAAAGGAGCTGATCTTTTCTTTGAGAAACTTTCGAAGGATCGGGATCGATGCGGCGATAATTGTGACTGCTGACTCTGTCGCTGACCATATAACGGATTGTACCGCATTGTCTATACTGTTGTTAGCGGCCTGAGTGCGTTCATATTGGTGGTCATATATGCAACTTACAGGAAATATCTTGGGTCGTCAGTTGGATGATGTAGATGCTCCTGGCAATGGCTGTCGCACCAGCGCTAAATCCAAAGTCAGTCTTGCTTCTTTCTTGGAAAATGAGATGCATAAATAGTAGAGAGACTGACAGGAATCCGAGACTCATCGCACAGCATACACCGAGTTTCTCAACGGTGCGCATCTGAACACCCCATAGAATTTTCCACGGAAGAAGTGCCAGTGAAAAATCCATGAATGCCGCCCAAGCTGCTTGAAGTTTTAGTGGTATTTATTCGATTTTTGTCGCGCTCGTGCTTACCAGCTTGGAAGATACCATATTTCAAGGATATTGTTTTATCAATACATGTGCCGGGGTAAAAGTCGACAAAGGTTTTGGCGAGCGGCCTGCACTGCACCCAAGGCAGGACAGTGACGGGAATAGCAAACAGTATGAGAGTCGTGATGGAGAACCAGATGAATCCCCTATAGAATCCAGAAGTCAAAGGAATGAGAGTAACAGCAAAGGAAATTTTGCTCGCATTGATAGCCACAATCGATGCGGTGAGGGCGGACGCGCCAAGGTATGTGATCGAATTCAAGTTTTTGTAGTCCACTGCCATCGGCCGGAGATAAGTCGACTGTTGAAGAGATTGAATCAAAAGCAGAGCACTTACTATCCAATATGTGCCTTCCGAATCCCAAATTGATTGAAAGTTGCATCAATATAACCTGCACCAGCAGGCATACCCACGACATGATGAGCAGAGCATCATCCCACCAAAATCTGCGATGCTTCAGTCGAACATACATCCGCAGTCCCAGGAACACACCACAAAACAACCACAGGCACCATAGAACTGCAGACATCAGCGGGCCATGATTCTCGGCCGGGTTGCTGACCCAGTTCTTGATTGCCGACGACGACATGGTTGGCGATGTCCCCAACTCCCAGTGTCCCAAGAATAGAATGAAATGCTGAGAAAGAGCAATGATAGCACATGGGCCAGGCGTGTTATTATTTTGAGTTCAACCCCAAATTGGCTCTCCTCTTCATGCTCATCGTAGCTCAAGGAAATCATTCTCCCAAGGCTGGGCAGACGGGCCCAGTGCCAAAATCTGGATTGGTTAGTGTCCGTACAAGGCCAGGCTAAGAAGATGGTTGATCCATCATTGCCGCGGAGTATATCCTAGGCTCCTACTAAACTTCAAGAACGGCTTAAGCCGTAGTATGATCTGCCCCTCTAATCCGTAGCCCGTCAGAATGGCTTGCCCGGACCGACATCTAGACAGTAGACGGAGGCTTTTAAAACCCCTGCTAATGACCGGGATTTCAGAAACCCGGTATACACTCGCCCTACGAACTACACTATTATAAAGGGTTTCAGTTGACTGCAAGGATAGATGGCCCGACCTTATTAGGTTGGGGTTGTTTTAGCGGCACTTTTGTGTCATGCTATACTACTGCGGTAGCGGGCAGTAATTTATCGGGAGCAATGGCCGATGAATGAAATCACACAATGGCCGAACTTTAGTTTGAGAGTCATTATTCCCGCGGGATCGCCTGGACGAGTAGACAGTCAAGTCATGTTGGCAAGGTTTGCCACGGGCGGCTGTTGTATTCTGCCTTGGATACATGGTTACATATATGATCTGACGTCGAGTCCCTATTGAGTCGTGTGAGCCATTCCATCGTGCGGTCTATAAGGGATAGTCTGTGCATTGATGGCTATAGAAATTCTTGCATTTGAAATGGAGACAGGGTTTGCCAAGCTCTGCGCAGTCTAAAATCCTCAGCAATACAGGAGCTTTGTGGCTTTTCTTCCCCTTGTATTATAGTACAATAGTCAAGACCCCATGTGTCAAATCGCCTGGAGAACGTCGGCAAAGTTCCGTCTTGGATTCCGCATCGGATCGAGTCGTCCGTAAACTAGACACGGATCGCTACTGTTGATCTTTATAACCGAGACAACCGGATCTATCAGGTGTCGGAGATATGTCACTGACTTGGTCTAGTAGATCTCGGTACTTGATATAGTGTTCATGACAGCGGCGATCAGAAGATACAATAGCATTTCACCTGGCAAGGGACTTGTGGGCATAAGTATGCTCTAGTGATCTTGAAGACTGCTCAATTGGATATGAAACGTTATCGCATGCTATTCCCGCTCTGATCGCCGCTGAAAGTTCATATAGTAATACACTCTTCCCTCCCCCCGATAGTCGTCGCATTCCACGTGGTCCATCCGAGCTTCTTCCATCATGCTTCCTCGAGAATGCCAGTTACCCTAACCACGGGATAGGCCGCATCGCCGTACTCATCCCAATAAAGAGGCATGGTCGGCAACTGCTTCGAATTGACCCAGCTCCGACGCACCGGCAACACATCACCAACGTACATTTCCTCTACCAACTGCCAAATCCTCCTGCGGTTCCTCAGTCCATTTGGCACGTTCATGTTTGAGTAGCAAAATAGCTCCAAGTCAGCTTCGAGGGTCTCGTGATGCCTCCAATTCGTCCACACCCCTTTGCTCAGTTTGCGCACCAACAGTTCCCAGTTGATCTCTGTGCTCCGGGCAGCCAATGATGAACAGAAATTTTCGATGGCCGGGACATCAAGGTCCCATAGGAATGGCAGATACCTACCGTCCAGGAGTATGTGTTGCCACGTCTCTTGAGGTAAAAGTCCAGTACATCGGGGCGATAGCCCCTCAAAGGAGCCCATGAACCATACGATTCGATCTTGTAGCTCCTGTGGCAATGCCAAGAATGATTCGCTGAAAGCTTTGGCCCCTGGGTTGACTGAACTCGGTTGTAGTGTTCCGGTATTTGCTATGATTTGAGAAGTCAGAGATGGGATATTCAATGGATCTGCAACAACCTAAAAAAAAGAATTACGTGTCAGTGAACAGGTTCATGAACTGAAGTTGAAGGTGAAAAGAAGAACCGGTGGAGTAACCACACATACCCAGTGAGCATCATCGCCATCCCATACTGAAAAGTCGTCTGCGAATCCAAGGGGCATGTAATACCCATTTTCCATCACAATGTATTGTGGACCGGCCCATTCGACTGTGCCCATGTACTCATTGTCTCGAGCATCGTACCGCGTGCGCAAAACCCTCCAAAGTGTTCGCAGAGATCGCACGCGAACATTGTTCTGCGACTTGCGCATCACTCCAAGGGCCACTTCCACACACGCCTCATGCACTGCGATGCTGTATGGGATTGGGTAGGCTTGCCCGAATTCATCAAAGCCTGCTAGCCAGTTGGGCGGATACTCCTCACCGCTCCCCGTCACGGTGCAAGTGTTGGACCAAGTAGCAGTGGCGGCATCTTGTCGTATGTCCTGGTCGATGTCAAAGTGCGCTTGTTCAATGTTCTTGCGCTTGCCGGCCCGGTAGTGCTCCTCTAGCTTCTCAAACTCCTTGACGGGGTCGCTGAGTAGCACGACCTTGGTCTGCCATTTGACCTCGTCGCTCCACTGTGTGCCATCGACTTGAGTCGGCGGCCGAAGAGGGCCTCCGCATATAGAGCAGAACAGCATCCTGTCTACCATAACGCAATGTGGTTCAGCATTAGAATGCTTTGAAGATTTATCAAATCAAGTTTGTATAAGAGTCCTGTAGTTTGGCCGGATGTTTAGAGATGCATGTTTTGAGAAATGCATAGTGCTATCATAAATTTGGGTTGTCTCTCAGTTGATCAAACAGTGTCCGAAAAAGTACCTACCCGATCTCACCAGAGGCAGGGGGTTTGGGGATTAGCGCAGATCTTTCAGTTTTAGAGCATAGTTCTACCAGGCAAACACAGTACCTACACTATCTCTGCCCTATGGGGATTGGGCAAAACAGGAAAAAGCCATTGCAATCATACCTTCATACAATGTACCTTGCCCTCCCGGATCAAGAAGCTGTTAGGGCTTGGTCGCAGCCAGGCTTCCAGCCAGCCAAGCCTAGGTGAGAACCCAGTCTAGCGGGTTTTCTTAAACCTGGTCAGCACCATGTGGTCGTGGAGGGGTTGAGAAAACGTGGTGTCTAAACGTGGGTGCGCGCAGCAGCCAGACCCAGGCTTGGTATGTATGCGGGCGTATTCTGTGCGGGGGGGACGTCCGGTATTTCGAGGAGTCAAGGCTCATAGTTGGGGGTTAGGCAAGACATGTTAGACGTGTTGTGCATGGGTCTTTACACATTCTTACCTCTTTTATGTACCCGAAAGAGATGACTGCTTATGGAATAGATGCTGAGATGTTAAAAAGCGGACTGGCTTCCTTCCTGGTCTGATTGAGGATTGTGTGACCTTCAGCCTCCAAAAAAAAACTCGTATCATGATACAGTTTGCCATTCCGCGGTGGCTAAACTCCCGCCCAGACTCCGGAACTTTTCAAGGTTCATTTCCAGTAGCAAGCGGTGAATGATTTTGAGGCTGTCATCTTTATAATTAGAAACTATAAATCTATGTCAAGGTCAGACAGCAACCATCACAGAGATAACTAATGTGCTCTTCCAGATGACTATTTGAATATTAGGTCAGTACTATATGATGCCCTGAAGCCATCGTGATGACATGAAACAAACCTTGCAAATGGAACGCGGATGGATTGCCGTGCATGCAATATTGCCAGCATGAGTATCTCCCCGGTTTCCGATAGAAGCCTAGATCATCATCAACAGCGATCCTACCCAGTCTCCATAACGACCCAGCGTCCCGAGGCGCGGAGGAATGTTGTGTTCTCAAGGCGGATGCGATCTTGGCGGCCGTCGGCCTACGGACCCGAGAAATACCTCGCAAACCGAGAAACCCCGTCCCATAGGTAGCTGGAAATGGAGGAACATTTGCCCATGTAGTATGACGCGAATGGTACTGATGAGAGGGAGTCTATACATCACCCAAACTGCCACTGCTTACATATTGACAAGGAACCTTGTATGAAGACTACCCAGGTTAGTGGGTGGCTTGTTTAAAACGCCAATCGCAGCGTTTGGGGGCCAAAGGGTAGAAGGGGTGAAAACTTTGGGTTAGCGGGTAGCAGTCATGCCCATATACATACCTCCCAAGCAGTCATCATCATCATTGGTATCGCAAAGCATTGCACGTCTTGTTTTGTAACAACCCAGTAAAAGGTTCCATCACGTGCACTCATCCATCTACAATGCGCCCACGGATCTTTGTTGTCTGCAATCATTCCCTTTCGAGCTTGTCAGGCAGCTCGTGACCTAACTGACATTGTGTATATGTCGATACCTTGATGCATTCTTACGATATGTACGTTATACAGTTGAGGTGGTACAAAGTTAATTCGCACATAGTAAGCATTGCATTGCATCTACAAAAGCCTTTCAGGCGGTAAGTTCGACAAAATGTCTATAGAGATGAATGCGCGAAGGCGTAAAAGGCCATGCATATCAGATCATTCATCCCGAGGTCACTGCATTTGTCCGGCCTATCCATATTCCGTGCCATAGATGCGAGGGCGCCTGCAGATTTGATAGCGGTTCATCTGCAACCCGAGTCTCCTGTCGCTTACCTACTAGGCTCGCTAAGTAGGTATAAGGATGGCATGGATCTTTGCGCCACTGAGCAGAATCTGCAGTGGTTGGGAATCCGAACTGGCCAATCAGGCCCGAATCGAGATTTCATAGCGAGTAGTATGTTGATCAACCTTGTTGGCCCCCATACTCTAGCACCGATATACTTCTAAGCTCAGGCGTCTTAGCTGCAATGTATCTGCTCAAAAAGTACCTACACAAGTCTAACCCCTGGTTAGGAAGAAAAGAAAGCCAAGATTAGCACAGCTCAGATGATTGAAAGTCGTTGGGTTTGTAGCTCCAAACCATCAAGGCACCTAATAATGCCGGATCTCTCGACTGCTTATAAGTCCTGACATTTGGTATGACAATACACATAGTAGAAGAGGTGCGGGCCTGCAATCGAGAGAGTATAGTGGGCCGCCAGCTTATAATGAACCCCACGTTGAGGGGAAGAGAAACTATGGAAGTCATTACCCCGGCCCATAGGCATAGATACGTAGGTTGATTGATGTCGTCATGCCAATCACATCATCGCCCGGCAGCGTCGCATCTTTGGATATGCTTTGAGGGTCATTGACCATCTTGCCATGATCTTTGGAAGGAATTGTGAGATTTTTTTTAGATCATATCCCACACTAATCACACCAGAAACTTATGAAAAAAGCATTTAATTCATACGTAAAAGAAAAAGGGAACAGCGCCGCAATCATGGCTCCCGCAAACAAGATCCAAGACATTTTCAACGTAAATGGTCTCGTCGCCGTGATCACCGGCGGAGGAAGCGGCCTCGGGCTGTACGCGGCGCGGGCGCTCGACGCCAACGGGGCAAAGGCAGTCTACATTGTCGGACGCCGCGAATGGACGCTGCAAGAAGCAGTCAAGACGGCCGTGAACGGAAACATAATCCCCATTGTCGGCGACGTCACCAACAAGGAGTCACTGCTCAAGGTGGCCGAGCAGGTCCGCAAGGAGCAGGGTTATGTCAATCTTCTCTTTGCGAACGCGGGCGTTTCTGGCCCCCGGGACAGCGCGGCTCTCAAGAAGGATGGTGGAGGCAAGCTGTCTGTCCAGGAGGTGCAGCAGAGACTCTTTGAGCCTCCGATGGAAGATTTCACCCGAGTACTGCATGTCAATGACACCGCCGTCTACTACACGACGATTGCCTTCCTAGACCTTTTGGAGACGGGAAACAAGAAGAGAAACGTGCCGCAGGATTCGCAAGTCATTGTCACCGGGTCCGTAGCCGGCTTCAGTCGATTTCTAGCCTCGAGTTTCTCCTACTCCGTGTCCAAGGCGGCCGCAGTCAACTTGGTGAAGATGCTCTCCACATTCTTCGCGTCCGAAGGGTTGCACATTCGCGCAAACCTGATTGCGCCAGGCCTGTACCCGAGCGAGATGACTACGGGGCAGACGGACACGATGGAGAAATTTCCAGGCGTTCCGGGACATGACGGAGCTCATGAAGGTGCATATGTAATGGAAAGCAAGAGGTCACCGGCAGAACGGACAGGAAGTGAAGAGGACTTTGCTGGTGCCGTGCTCTTCCTGGCGAGCCGAGCAGGTGCATACATCAATGGAGAGACACTACTGACGGACGGTGGCCGATTAAGTCAACTGCCCGGTACTTATTAAACTCAAACAAGTAGTACATTGACTCCGAGTGACCAATAACTCTCATCGCAGTCTTCTATCCCTTCAGTTTTGAAATGCAGAGATTAGAATCAGACATGAGAAAAGGTCATGCATCGTCAATGCCACATATAAGAAGCGTCAAAAATAGCCTTTATGGTACAACTGTACTTTATTCGCAATTGATAAAGTCGGAGATGGGACGTGATATTCGGTGATTGATACGAGATCCGATGACAAGGAATTGGGGCCAAGAACTCGGCAGCGCTCAGCCGCTCCACGCATATTGATGTCATATGACTAGGTCTCTTGGTCCACAGGCGTATCCTGGAATTCCTCTGGTGGTGGAATAGGCATACTCTTTTTGCAATGAATATTTTCGCAATTCAAAAGAGCCAGTGTTAGGACACGATCTTCCTGAAAATGAGGTTGATACGATTGATTCCGGCTTTATCGAGCGTGGCCATGGCTGTTCTTCAACCAGACTACATATCTCCCGCTGGTGTTGAGATTTATAATCCTTCAACATTTTTCAACGCCACGGGCCCATGGAGTATCATGTCCAAGGCCGGAAACACGTTATATATTTCTGGTTCGTTTATATTGCCAACAGCAACCCACAGAAATGGCCACTGACCGTGCAATATCAGGCATGCGTGGTATTTACCCCTCAAACAGCACGCTGGCACCAACTGGCTTGGCTCGAATACAGCTAGCCTTTGAGAACATGGTTTCACTTGCAGAGATGGCTGGGACGGACCGGTACTCTTGTCTTCGCCTAGTTGTGTATACGATAGATATGTATCGGTATCGACCCCTGTGCAACCAGGTTCAGGTCGAGCTCTGGGGCAACGACTCGAACAAATACCCGCCGCGGACCATAGTTGAAGTCGACCGGCTTAATGATGATGATATTGTCGAGGTGGAAGGAACATTTTGGGTATAAATGTTAATGATCAGAACGCCTTATGCATAAATGTGGAACAAGCTGAGTGGCTTTACCTTTTCCAAATTCAATTATCTCACACTTCAAAATTACAAAGGCTCTCTATACTATCAAACGCAATAGCAAAATGTGAAGTGATCCGGTTCTGTCAATCCCTTTCCGTGTTGGAAAGCTTCCTTCGCTTGTCTCCGGCCGTATTACTGTCTGCATCAGAGGTACTGTCGTCTGCTGCCCTTTTATTTCCAGCCATTTGCTCGACTTCTTCCGTTGGATCATAAGTATTTGCCTCTGGATCCTCGAGAGCGTTTACGATCTTTTCAACTCCCATATCGTCACCCTCTTCAGTTTCCATCAGTTCAGGGTCGACCCACTGCGAAATCCCATGTTAGCAAATGACCCCAAGGGTATATAGTACAAAGCAGTCTCCATGATTGTGAAACTGGCTAAGTCGCTTACCCCATCTGTATAACTGCCGCCAAAGTCAATGATCCAGAGATCGCCATGCCGATCGACCATGAAGTTGTCGGCCTTTGCGTCGCCCCAGACGATGTCATTGTCGTGCAGCAACTTGACCATGCGCTCTGTTTCCCGCGCCCATTTCTCCCGCTTCTCCTCGACGACATCTGAATCCAGCATTCTCGTTAGAGGTGTCGGGTCCTCAATGTTTGTCATCAAGAAGCCCATGATCTCGGACTTGCTGTCTTCCCACCCGACGAGTCCCGTGACCAGCGGCACGCGCATCTTCTCGTGCAGACGCTTTGACTCGATTTCCTTCATGAGCTTGATTTCCCTCCTGGTGGGTTGAGGCTGATCTCTGTCCACGGTTTTGAGGTAATATTTATCGCCGCCAGCTTGAACCTGGCATGGTCGGTAGGGAGCCGGATCATCGCTCTCAGCTAGTACGATAATGTCACTGGCGTTGTACCAGGGAATATCCAACCTCTTGATGTACTTTGGTATCGAGATCTTGGGAATTAGGTTCTTGATTCTTTCCTCAAGTTCCTCACTCGCTTCTAGTTGTTGGCAGTCAAGTTCACCATCTTTGCCGTGTAAAGTATAGAAATATGTCGGCCCTGAATACCAATCTATTAATGACTGAAGATCGCCGTCATCTGAAATGGATGGCAAAGCATCGAAAATATTCGAAACCGGCTTGAGCATCCACTCATGCAACTTTACTTCAACATCTTCGTTGACTTGCACAGGCTCCTCGTTGCCAGTTTGCGTCTTATCGTCATTGCTGGTTGCGTCGTCCCTCACGTCCACGCCGCTGTCGCTGTCTTGGTTCGCGCTCCGCTGCTCTCGCTTGTTGGATTTGTCATCGTTGTCTTCCTTTGGGATTGTCCCAGGTCTGTATGCAGAATCCGGGTTGTCGTCATTGTTTTCACTTTCATCCGCGCGTACTTTTACCGCTCTGATGAGCGAAAGATATTCCTTTGCAACATGGTCGCCGTCGCTTGAAGATGCCAAGTCATCTGGACTGACCATGATATGGAAGCGAAAGTCCTTGACCAAGAGTGTCAGTGCGTAGCAGTCCTTGTCGTCCATGAAAGAATCGAGGATATGGACCTCGCTTTCGCTCTTGGTCTTGCTTCTAGTGCCGGTCATTTTGTCTACTGTTGCTGAGTCTTGAGACTGCTTGGAGGATAAATGGGATTTTGCATAGTCCATGTAATACTAAGTCTATCTGCAGTATTATATATACCTATACCGGAGATTCTTGAGTTAGTGCCCAGACATGTAGTGAAATCATGACCCATCTAGTAGAGAATCCCCATAATCGGCTTTTTCCAGACGAAGGTTTGCTACCAAATACTCCATTCTGGCCAAACTAAACTCAAGTCCGTCTGCAAGGTACACTGCGTTCTCGAGATGCTTTGGGTAAGAGGCCGTGGAGACCTTTTACTTTTCTTAGACATCCGTATCAATGACGTGCAAGACTATAAACACGCTAAGTCGCGATGCCGACCCCAACAGAGGATTGGCTTCATCGTGTTCGCGTAAATGGACCTTCTCGTAATGACATCAGTATCAAAGACTGAAATTTGCAACAGCCATACTGTGTGATTGGTACATAGCAGAGCAATAATGCCACGCTATTTGCATTATCACCTAGTCCTCTGAAATAGTGCGATTAGTATGCCACAATGGGTATGAACAGAACACCAAGCTCTATCAAAATTGTGCCCTGCATTCCAATACATTCCAGCGAAGAAACGGAATGTCTTTAATTAGTATAGACTGCCAAGGTTTCCCAAGTTTGACCAAAACTCATTACAGTCGGCAGTAGACCTTCATGAGCAAGTCGCCATATTCCATGACAGACACGATCTTTGGTTTACGATGGAGCTCTTATGGTGGCATATGTGATTTGTTGGCATGGGATTTTATGAGCCAGGTGTTGCGCGTAATTGCAATGAACAGAGTATTGCTTCATTAAATCATTGTGCACAGTACCAAGATATTCATGATGACCAAGCCATACCTTGCTACCACCTAATCACTACCCACAAGGTGACATCATGGCAGTCTGGATGAGAGATAGGTCACAGATGAATCTCGCTACTGAGGGCACAGAAAACCGAATTATAGTAATTCATTCGGACAAAATTAACTGGAAGCCTTGCTGCGGAGCATCGTCAGGCCTCACGGCTTGCTAAGATTTGTGGAAAGGGGGAAAACACGTGGCACAGTAAAACGATATTGGAAGCGTATTGGTCGTGATCATTGTGACTCAATTCATGGAGATCGTTATCTGAGGAAGCATGTCGAAATCCGGTGACACGCGTGCAAAAGCCATTCCATTTTACCATTTCCCTGTCATGAACCACAAAACCCCGAACACCAAAACTGCCTTGTGCACTACATTTATGCAGCCTTAGCGGTCTGGGTAGGAGTGACCTTCTTGCCGTCCTTGTTGTATCGGACACGCGGGGGAGGGGCACGGTTGCGGCGACCGACTCTGGAGCGGACACTATAATATTATCGTCAGCATAATGAGTTCGGGGGAAGGAACATTGTCGTCGGGTTCGGCTCGAATGGAAGGCGACCAAGGTTCTTCTCAGCGGCACACTCAGCCAGGCACGAGGCCAATGCTGGTGGTTCTTCCCTGACGGGCACCCTCTGACGGGACTTTGTGGAACGTACCGGACAATCTTGCCGTGGATGGCGCAAGAGACACAGTACTGCAGCTTGAGGTACATCTTGGGGACGGTGTACTCCTGGAAGACGGAGGCATCCGAGATATCACCTGGGGAGACGAGATGTTAGCAAGATCCGTGTCGGGGTAGTTGGCGGTTGCTGTGGAGAAGTCGAGGAAGGGGGGTCGACGTACGGATGGCAGCAGACTCAACCATGTTGCGGATGGTGAAGCGCTTGATGGCCTTGTCCTTGGGAGTGCATCGCGAGCAGTTGCTGCAGCGGATGGGCTTGGTGTGGCCGCGGCCCTTCTTGTTGCGGCCGCTGTACAGAAATGTTAGCACATGTTCCCTAAATAAACAGTTCGGGCGCGGGCGTCGATGACATTGACTGTGCGAAGGTGTAGAGCAGTCGCAATGGCATCGACGAGGCGCGCCCAGAAGCAGATAGGGACAATAGAGGGGATCGCGTACTTGTTCTTTCTCTTCTTGACCATTTTGGCGGTTGTTGTTCTTTTCCTTACCGTGAGAGAAAAGAAGAGTCGAGGACTGGATAATGTCAAGTCGAGCTGAGGATCTCTTTGAGCGATTGAGAAATTGAATAGTGGAACTTGGTGGGTGAAGTTCGGGCCCCACTTTAGTCTTTTTTTCGGTTGCCCTGAGGTTGCTGCTGCAGCCAATTGGTTTTGGCGCTTTTGTTAGGCCTTTGCCTGCAGCGCGCCCCTTCTAGAGCCCCAAACTGCACAGGGTTCAGAGGCAGAGAAACCCTAGGCGGTCTGTGCTCGCCAATTTTTCGCGCCCTGCTGGTCCGTGCCACAGACCCGCGAATTTCTGAAGTGGACCCCATCCCACCAAGCAAAAGTCATCGAACTTCTCCCCCAAACCATCAACTCTCCCGATAGATCTCATACTTGCTGAGGAAGGCAATTTGTCTAGGTACGTGAGCCCGGGATGCCTTGCTGCTTGTCTAGGTGGACGACAGCAGGATCTTGCCCATAATCAACATGGCCTTCATCACCATCAATCGCATCTGCCTACTGCAATGCGAATGCCCGTCCAGCGGTTCATGATGCCGGGATTGCATGTGCGACGGGCGGTCTCCGACCAAAAACGCCCAAGCAGTGTGGTTCTAGCATTTTGAATCGCGAGACCTCGAATCCACCTTCTGTCGATTTACCCGGGAATTCTATCTAACATTCATGTCTTCAGGCAAAATGCAGATCTTCGTCAAGACCCTCACGGGCAAGACTATCACCCTTGAGGTGGAGTCGTCCGACACCATCGACAACGTCAAGTCCAAGATCCAGGACAAGGAGGGAATTCCCCCGGACCAGCAGCGCCTCATCTTCGCTGGCAAGCAGCTTGAGGATGGCCGTACCCTGAGCGACTACAACATCCAGAAGGAGTCGACTCTCCACCTGGTCCTGCGCCTGCGTGGTGGTGCCAAGAAGAGAAAGAAGAAGGTCTACACCACTCCCAAGAAGATCAAGCACAAGCGCAAGAAGACCAAGTTGGCTGTGCTCAAGTACTACAAGGTCGACGGTGATGGCAAGATCGAGCGTCTCCGAAGAGAGTGCCCGGCCGAGACCGTAAGTTTTCCTTACCTGCGTGATGTCCCATTTCCAGTCATGAACTAACCTTTCTTTTCTAGTGCGGTGCTGGTGTCTTCATGGCTGCCATGCAGGACCGCCAATACTGCGGTCGCTGCCACCTGACCTACGTCTTTGACAAGCCGTAAATTGTCTCAACCAGGTTTTCGACACATGTAAAGGATATTGCATTGGGAAAGGGAAATATGGATTGATGAGGCCATGATATGTACCCGGCGTTGATATGGCGTAGACCCATCTCTAGCTCCGGCAATCTGAAGATACCTTTTGAGCCAACACTATTTGCTTCTGCTCCGCTTTTGTGACTTGCACATCCCGTAACCATTGATATCTGTATATCAATGTAGAATTCGTAATCCGCCATGTTATGCTCAGTCGGATTGTGGTCTATCCGACTGCGTTGCCTTGTCCACCATGACGACCGAGCATCTCGTCAAGGCAACGTAACATTCGTAATCCCACCGGTCGTTGATTGTATTTGCCTGCCGGTCCCATCACGTCGCCACAGGGGCTTTGATATCCAGGTCTGCTGTCCACGTCGCCGCGGCCAAAGGTGGTAGCTGTGGCAGTGCGCTGCAGGGGGGCTCAACTTCACCCAAGGTTTTCAGCCACAGCATGGTTTGCCTCACGCAAGCGGTATTACCGCACACTAAGAAGGCGGGTACCGGATTTTCAAGGATCGACGTCATATTTATGCATATGAATTGGCGTCCAACTTGATGTCCTCAATACTCAATACTCTGACCTTGAACTCAAAACTTGTACACTTCGACGGTGAGGAAGAGAGAGGCTTAATTTTTTATTTTTATCTTGCACTGCTTTTGACTTGTGATTTCCCTATACGAAACCTGGCGAATAGCTTGGTAGAAAGTCAAATGTATTCAAAGAAAAGAACTTCAGGCTTGTCCGTTAGGTAGCGGTGTAATTGGTTCAAGTCCAACGGGAGCCGCTGTGCCGGCCGGTCCAACCCAACCCAACCAGAACGTTTGCATCGCCTCGCCCAAGCTCCAAGCCACGCCCCTCTACCTGAAATCCCTGTGGCCCAGTGAGAGTCAAGCATGTCCAACGACAGGCACAAACGCATTGATTCTTGACACGACCATGAGCTGGCAGCTTCTGGGTCTTACCTAACATAAGTAGGTAACCTAGAGGGCTAAGCTTGAGGTGTCACCGTGAGGCCATGCCATTTATAAGACCATCTCTCATCACATCTGTGTCACTTATTATTCTCTGTCTCTCACTTATTCTCATCATCATCACAAGTCCAACGTCTTACAGCATTTCTGGACTTTTTGTCTATACCAACAAATTCATATTTCCCTTCCTCAACAACAACAAAGTCATTGCAGATATGGGCGGTGGACCTGAAAACGGCTATCGCACGGTAGCATATTTTGTAAACTGGGCTATCTACGGCCGCAAGCACCGGCCTCAAGACTTGCCCGTGGACAAACTCACCCATATTCTCTACGCCTTTGCCAATGTCCGGCCCGACTCGGGCGAGGTGTATCTCACAGATACATGGGCCGACACGGATATCCACTGGGAGAATGACTCATGGAACGACTCTGGCAACAACCTGTACGGCTGTCTCAAGCAGCTGAACCTATTGAAGCGCAAGAACCGGCAGCTCAAGATTCTGCTCAGTGTCGGCGGTTGGACGTACAGCAGCAACTTCAAGCAGCCGGCTTCCACGCCGCAAGGCAGGGCTACGTTTGCCAACTCGTGTGTCGAGCTCATCAAGAATTTGGGTTTCGACGGCATTGATATAGACTGGGAATACCCTCAGTCCCCCGCCGAGGCTGCCGACTTCGTAGCTCTCCTGCGTGCCGTGCGCGAGGCCATGGATGCCTACAGCCGCACGCTTCCCCAGACATATCATTTCGAGCTCACCGTCGCCTGTCCGGCCGGCGCACAAAACTACGAGAAGCTCGATTTGCCCGGAATGGACAGACTGCTCGATTTTTGGAATCTGATGGCTTACGACTATGCCGGAAGCTGGGACCAAAAGGCAGGCCACCAGGCCAACCTGTACCCATGCCGGAGCAACCCGGGATGCACCCCTTTTAGCACCGTCGCCGCCGTGGACTACTACACATCTCGAGGCGTGCCGGCCAACAAAATCGTGCTCGGCATGCCCATCTACGGACGAGCATTCCAGGGCACCGACGGCCCCGGCTGCCCCTACAACGGCGTCGGCGAGGGCACGTGGGAGAATGGCGTCTTTGACTACAAGAAACTGCCCCTGGCGGGCGCCGAAGAGAGGTACGATCCCGAGTCGGGGGCTAGCTACTGCTACAACCCTGCGACGCGGACCATGGTCACGTACGACACGGCCGCAATGGCGCAGATGAAGACGCAATACCTTCAGGGCAGAGGTCTAGGCGGTGCCATGTGGTGGGAGAGTAGCGCAGACAAGGAGGGGCCTGAGAGTTTGATTGGAAATGTGGTGCATGTCATGGGAGGACAGGGAGCGTTGGATCAGACACCAAACTGCATCACGCAGCCGGCGACAAAATACGACAACCTGCGGGATGGGTTCCCCAATGACAGGTATTGATCTAGGATCAGAGGGATGTGTAAGAATGGCCATATTTTGTGCAGTCCGTCATTTGTGACGGCCACTATCATAGTAATGATATGAATGACAGATGAATACTCGTTGAAAGAGATGAAGATCCAGATCAGAGCCTACAATAGCACCTAAAAGGACTTGACACCTAAATAGGAGTTTCTATATTCTATTTTTTTTGTTCTTTCTCTTTTCGCAATTGGATGCGTTATACAGCACCTCTGCTATGTGTTATACTTGCGTTTGGGGGAAAGAAGTAATCCCCATCGTCGTCTGTAAGAACATGATTCACGCCGAGCGAACTGGCCACATCACTCGTCCTTTCGTATACCTGGGACTTTTCGTTCCAGGCCAACAGTGGCGCATCTCTGTAGCTGTGATGCGCATATCTTGCAGCGATACCATCACCAGAGATCCATTGCTCCTCCCCCTCCCCTTCCTCTCCCCGCCCCTGCTGCTGCATCTGCTGTTGTCCCATACCGTCGTTGGCGGTTTGCCACGACGACGTCCACGGCTTCCTCTGCCGCCCGTGTCTCCAGATGTAGAGGCCCAAAAGGCTTGTGCTGATGATGATGAAAATTATGACGGCCGTGATGACGGTGGACATGACGTCGGCTGTTGTTGATGTACTGGCTCCGAGGTCGCCTGATCCCACAACCTGACGTCGGGTAAATGTGTGCGCGGTAGAAGAGGTAGCGAGAGTCGCAAAGGCGGCGGCGGCCCCGGCGCCAGTGGTGGTGGTATGATGATGATGTTGATGAGAGGAAGAATCGGCTTCGATATCCAGGTTGTGTTTCCGCCTCACTGGCACCCAGTAGACATTGCGAGGTTCCTCCATGATGATGATATTATTATTATCTTTATTATCCAACTGTGTCGTTGTTTGTCGCTGCCTGATCCCGTTGTGCTGCTGCTGCTGCTGCTGCGACCGCTTTAACAGGCCGGTATGCGCAGAAGCTTGTCCTTGGTTCTCGTCTTGGCAATGCTGCACTCTTGAACCAAGTCGCCTTGTACGAAAAGAAAAAAGTATGATGTGTGCCCTAGTCGATCCCGCACTTCTGCAAGTCGATTTGCTGGTCGTTTGGCGATTTATAATATTATCTCGTATTTTTGTTCAAGTATTTCGTATTAGGGTCGGTATTATGTATAAGTCGCATTAGTGCCCAAAGGCTGTTGTTGGTTAAAGAAGTTTAAAGGAAGGACTGGAACTGAAAAGAGAAAATAAATGAGAGTGAATGAAGATATTCTGAGTTTTGTCTCGCCTCGTCTTTACCTATGACTTCTGTTGTTTTTCCCTTTTTTTCTTCCCCACGAATGGAGTGACAAGGCAAGAGCTTCAAATGTCATTCTTTTTTATTCCGCAAGAGCAGCATTTGGTATTTGCGAGTTGCTGGAGGCCCTTGATCCATGACTGTCGGCTTGTGAAAGCGGGTTTTAGGTGACGATCGCAATATAAATGATTGCTGTTTCAAATGTCAGACGTCCCCGTTAGCAGGCGTAGCGTCCCCGTAGCGTCCGCATAGGCTTTTGATAGCGTCAACGCCTTGGGCCTCCCCCCGGTTTGCCCGTCACCCGTTTTGCCCTTGAATTGCCTACCCCACCCCAGACAAAAACAGATCTCACAGAACATCTCAGCGCACCGATTTGGTCCCCGCGGGCCCTAATGTTACGTCCCTGTCAAAACATAATGCCTGTGCGTCCTTCTAACCGTAGAACAAAGGTGACAAAAACGTGGTCCGCGGATCCGTTGTCAAATGAGGGAGAAGAGAAATTGGGGGGGAACGAATTAGGTACCGTACTTTGTTAGGTGATGTCATGCTTTGACCATGCTCGTTGCTTATTTTAATGTCGCTCGTGATTTTGGGGGGGTTTCTGATATTAGCACACGAGCGTTTTTCTTCGCCTATGTCCCGGAGAACGCGTGCGAAGATGGGGCCGTGGCCATGTTGGCATATGGAGACCTTCTGTCGTACACGAGGCACTCGGGCATCTACCTGCAGTCCTCTCTCTGTACGTTGGGTGGTCCATGCTCACCAAGTGGACAAGAGGACAATTATCTGTCAATAATGGAAACCACCACTTCTGCTACTGGGCGCTTTGCTTTTTATATCGGATTCCCATGACTCCGGAGCGTTCAACATGTGTCCACTGTAGGTGTCACTTCTCTTGGGGGTTTGGCACTGGTCAAGTTGAAAATGGCGGGCGTTTGATGAGACGCCAAAGGACTCGAATATAGAGAGATTCAACAGAAAATTGAGAGACTACCCTTGATCGACTCCAAGATGAGCTTGCTTTTTGTGCCTTGGGATGCATGCTTGTTGACGATAACAATGTCACTATAGCCTTCTCGCCTACGCAGCTCGGTGTCATTCCGTGGCACACAATCCAACCAAGCGAGCCAGCCGCCTGTCCGCATTCAGCCAGTACGGTGTTATCAACCACCCACACCTCCAACCGACGAGAATGCGCGGCACGGATGCGCTCGGGGCGCCTGGTCCCTGAACATGGCAATGAGTCGACTATTTCCCGTCAAGCACATTCTCGCACACACTACGCTCGACTGTACTGTCAAGGTGGTGGCGTGGCGCGTATCTGGGTAATCCGCCCATGCTGGGAAACTCATTGGTTTCAATCCTGCCGTGTTGCCATGTGCGTTTCGCCAACGGGCTCCCAGGCTGATGTACATGAGCTCGGAGCCCTGCAGATCGGTTGTACAATAACAATAATATACTACCTATTCATGCAGAACAAATAATGGCAGCTTGCCACTTCCTTTACTCATTAATTTGAGCTGGAATGCCAACTTCCGATGCTGGTATATATGCGCTGAAAAGTAGGAGGCTTCCAGATATCAGTCGTTGCAGAGAGTCTAGCCATCGATTAACAAGGCGCAAACTTTCATGGCATCAACACCAGAGAACAAAGATTTGGCCGCAACATGTGGCTGGCATGGCTATTTTGGAGCTTCCTACTGATTGCATCCGCCCTACCACGAGACGGCCCAGCAATCACAGCGGATGACAGGCCCACGGAACTCCGAGACTTACAGATTGTTGAGGTGGAAAGACGTATACCAGAACCAATCATTGTCACAATAACTCTGACTACGACCATCAGCTTGGTACCGCCTGGATATTCCACGGCTCCGATGACGACACATACTCCAATACCGTGGACGGTGCCGGGGGGTTCATTACCACAGATTACAATTACGAGAAGCAGAACTCCATTGACAAGTACGGCGGATGCGACAAGTATCACCCCGACGTCGAGCACATCGCTCTCGACATCTAGCGAAATTGGGACAACGTCGACCTCGAGTATTGGAGTGACGAGCTCGGCGGCTCCCACAACAGCACCGAGCACCTCGAGTACCACTCTTGCGATCACGACATCCTCAAGTGACCTAAAAACCACGTCAGCTGCCATCACCCCGAGTTCATCATCGCCGCCGATCCCTTCAGACCCATCACCGAGCGCGGTCGAGGGCACAAGCGCAACGACGAGCTCATCGGCGCCAGGTACCAGCACCGCGCTTGCACCAGCCGCGGGCCTGCAGGGTCATTCGCTCGCCCCGGGACAGATTGCGGCCGTCGTGGTGGGCGCGATAGCCTTTACCATTTTTGTATCAGTGGTCGCCTATCTCGTCAGGTTCGCCGTCATACGACGACGCCAGAGCTCGGCCGAGAAGCGGCAGCGGTTGGACGGGGAAGACGCCGCGACCGCGCAACAGCGTTACTACCAAGGGGGAGGAGCTGCTCTTGCCGCTGCCGCCGCCGCAGCGAACAGATCCAGGAGTCTCCACGAGGGCGAGTTTCGCATCGTTATTCGGACGCCTCCGCCAGCTGCCGCTGAAGAAGAGGAACAGAGGATGAGACAGCTTTGGCCGAGTCCTCCGGGAGGTACGCAGAGGTTTACCTTCTTCTCGGGCCGGAGCACGACGACGGCCACAGATTCGGCCACGGATAGAGGTCAATGGAGCCAGGGGACCGAGAATGGAAGCAGCGGGCGATCGCACGGAAACCGCAATTCCTAGATGGAATGTTTGTGATCAAGATGTCCTGGTTGAAGCCGTGCGCAGTATAGATATTGGTAAAAGTCATATATACCCCTTTTTTCTAAAAGAGATCAAGTTCCATGCTTTGTCATGCTGCAGACAATGCATGGCTTAGGCTGGACAGCATGGATAGCAGATGTGCATATTACCAGCAAGAAAAACCCTGCATGCTGCCGACTCCCGAGATCGTGCCTGAGCTAGCCTTGGCAAATTGTTGAGGCAGTTCAATGTTTGAAAGAAGATTGCAAAAAAGGCAGTGCTAGATAATGCAGTCTTGTTGGACACGACTCGCCTTATGTTCTTGTGTTGAGTCGTTGGTATGGAAAAGGGTCGGCATTGCCGCCCGTACTTTGTTACACTATTTATGGGGACTTTGATGATATGTATGCACTGCGGGAAAAATGTTCCGAGACACGCGACAAATGCGAAGAATGCGAGCCTCTGCGGGCGGAGAGTGGCTGAGGTTCGGTGCTCTCTTCACTGACTCGCGAATCTCGGGTTTTTGGATTTAGGCTGCCAAATAGCGTCCACCTTAATGAATGCGAGCAGAACCCGAACTCTTTGAAAGTCGGCTCAGACGATTGAAGGATCACAAAAATTTCCACTACATGTTCAACAGGTAGGAAGGGGACCATGTCACAGTCACCAGCCGAAAATGATCGGAGAAGGCAGCCAAAATCCAAGACGGGCTGTCGCACCTGTAAGAAACGCAAGGTCAAGGTATGAAATAAGTGGGCTCTAACCCAATTCTGATCTCTGGGGCGAGCTGCCGCTGGCTGCTTATAATGTCAAGTATACTGACAATGATCCTCCTGTTTATAGTGTGACGAGAGCCGGCCAGCATGTCGCAAATGTGTAAAGCACGGCGTGAAATGTGACTTTATCGCATTATCTGAAAGCGATAAGCTAGAGTTACCAAGCCCATTACACCAACCTTATACTTACCATCATGAGTCTGGCGGCTTCACCATCAATGATCTGGAGCTTCTCCATCATTACGACACTTCGACATGTCTGACCCTCACAACAGAGCCGCTGACTCGCAATTTCTGGCGCGTCAACATTCCACAGATTGGATTCACAACGCCATATATCCTCAAGGGCGTACTCGCCGTCGCGGCTCTGCATCTGGCTCGGTACAGGCCCGAACGCAAGGACTTTTACACGACGCTCGCTTTTCACCACCACAATGCAGCCCTCGCCCAGGCCTCGCCCTTGATCACCAAGGTCGACACGGACAATTGCGTCAACCTCTTCCTCTTCAGCACCATAACCTATTACTTTGCCTTTGGCAAGCCCAGGAGTCCGACGGATTTCTTCTTGGCCGACAATGACGCCGTGCCAGACTGGCTGTACCTGTTCCGTGGCGTGCGCGCTCTCATGGAGTCCACCGGCAAGCTGATGCGCGCGTCTTCCATTGCCTTTATATTCGAGGAGGGAATCAAGATGCACCGCGCCTGGGAGGCGCTCGAATATGAAAACGAGGGTTTCCAGGAACTGCAGAGAAACATTCAGGCCAGTGTCGGCACCCACGAGCCGGCCAAGCTCAGAGTGCTGCTGGATGCTGTAGAGACGCTCCGAAAGAGTTATGCCGTGGTGCATGACGGCAGCCAATCAGACGAGAACAAGTCCCGGGGAGTCTTTGTTTGGGTTTACAAGATCTCCGACTTTTACGTTGACCTCGTGAGTGCCGGTGACAACGAGGCTCTCTGCGTGCTCGCCTATTTCTGTGTACTGCTCCGGAGGCTTGACTTTATGTGGTGGATTGAGGGATGGGGACTTCATCTCATTGAGCGTATATACGCTCGTCTGAATGATAAATATAGATTGTGGATTAGATGGCCCATTGAAGAGATAGGATGGGTGCCTTCATACTAGGTAATTGAGTTGATTCGGCATCATAGTCCATGTTCTGAGAATCTCGCTTCCACACCAAGTCCTCATATCGTGACACTTGTAGATGCCAGTTGTTTTACAACTTGCAATCCTCGATTTACACCTTAACTCTGCTTATGTCATTATCGAGACCTTTGCCTGCCCGAACCGATAGAGAAGTGGCCTAGATCGATCCGAATCAGTGTTGTGGAGACGAGTCCGAAAAACGCGAGCTGTTTATACTCGTGGTCGGTTGCGGGCGACATGGGGGTGCCACTCACTAGGCTAACCGGTCCTTTCCCAAGGGGGGCGGAATTGGCTATTATTATCATAGCCACACGGCGCAAAAGAACTTTTCTGTAATTTCCAGGTGAGTTATAGATCGTTTTCATTGACTTGCGACGCGAAACCTCGGAAACTCGATCCTAGTTTCGGCAAGACCCTGGCGGCTCAACCATTCGTGATTCAGGCAGACATTTAAGAACCATTTGTGCGTTGTTCGAGGTAAAGTCAAAGGTATATATTCAAACAACCTCCCTGGCAGGCTGAGTCCTTCTAAGAATATTGGTAGATGTACACAGCAGCAACTCGAATCGACTCGACACCCATACCGACAGAATGTCAGACGTGATAGAATATGTCTTTTACTCGTACAAGCCGTCCATGGCTGGTGCTGTCATATTTGTCATATTATTCGCCATTGCTGCTCTTTATCACATTTGGCTCCTTGTAAAAAATCGAGTCTGGTATTTCATCCCTTTTGTGATAGGATGTCTCTGTAAGTATCGACTAGTCTTTCCAACATGCCTCACGTGCTAACTACCTACTTTGTACAGTCGAGGCTGTTGGTTACATTGGACGCGCCATGTCCTCTACGGAATATCCCAACTTTACAAAGAACCCATACATCATTCAATCAGTCCTGCTGCTACTCGGCCCGACACTATACGCCGCCTCGATTTACATGATTCTCGGACGTCTCATCGTGTTACTCGAAGCCGACAACTACTCCATCATTAGGCCAAAGTGGCTGACAAAGTTCTTTGTCCTTGGCGATGTGTTGTCTTTCTTTGCTCAGGGAGGAGGTTCGTCATACAATTGCATTGCTTTGGAAATCAGCGCCCCGAGCAAGACTACTAACACGACCAAAAAATAGGAGGTGGTCTGTTGACCACGGCCAAGTCCCAAGCCGACGTACGACGCGGCGAGAACATAATCCTCGGCGGTCTGGGCATCCAAGTGCTCTTCTTTGGCTTCTTCATCATCACGACGGCCGTGTTCCACCGGCGCATCCGCAACGAGCCGACGCCCAAATCGCTGCGCGTCGTGGCGCCGTGGCGGAAGCTGCTGTACGCCCTCTACATTACCAGCATGCTCATCATGGTCCGGTCCATTTACCGTGTGGCCGAGTACGCCGAGGGCCAGGGCGGCGAGCTGCAGTCCAAGGAGTTTTGGCTCTACATTTTCGACGCGCTGCCCATGGTGGTCGTGGCTTTTGCCTTTATCTGGATGCACCCCAGCAAGGTCATTAGCCGCCAATTGGCCATGGATCCCGAGTACGCCATGGAGGATGGAATCGGCCGAACCGCGCAACGAACCGATTACAAGTGAGTTGGCTTGAATAGACCGGGGGGGAAATTGAGCGTGCGGCTGATTGGGGAAAAAAAAACAGTCGCTTGGAAGCTGGGGACCGCGCTCCCCTTGTTTAACATGAAGAATCGGAGCAAGTCATTTCAAGAGCGAGGTCATAAGATGGCATTTTCATATGTATAAATTGTTTGTTCTGTTTAGAGGTTAGAAAAGCACGTGATGACTGGCAAGCTGGTAAATCCAGAATGGAAATGCCATGAAATATATCCACAATAAACCTTGATACAAAGCCAGATTTCTCGTTCAAGGCTATCTGACCCTTGTGATGTATAGGCTTATAGATACTCCTAGCGATCTTGGGATTGATGACTTGCGTTGAGCGCCCAGCTCGCACGAGGGTCTGCCTGGGTCTGTCTCATTTCCCTGGCATCATGAAATGTAGAGACAGGCGAAGGAATGCCAAGCACTGACTGCCATCATGACGTTTTGTCTTTGCCGCGGTCCCCAAAAGACAAGAGAGCATATGACACGGTGCATATGCGTAAAATCAATTGCAGAAATCGACATGGCATGTGTGTAGTAGGTCTGGGCTCTTGTTACCCAAGGGCTGACGCAATGGCAGAGGAAAAGCATCATGGCATGAACTCGGCAGGTCCGGAGACACTGAAGCCGGGATAGCCCAACAAAACAGCTCGGAAATGGAGTTTGACCTCCGAGTGAAACCCAACTTGCAGGACAATAATTGGTGTCAACGATGCTTGGCATTGCGGATCAGATAAGATTAGATCGATCAAGAATGGCGCACACACAAAAAACATGGCCAATCCGTGAGGTTGTCTTTGGAGGAAAATTTTTGCATTGGCTGCGTTTGCAGACTGGGATTTTCCTTCCCGGTTAGGATGATTGATGTTCTAGAATGTCCCAAGCCATATTTATTATCATTGTTACCATCAACATTATTGTTATTCACGTAGGCAGAGTAATCCTACTACCCTAGATTCGCTGCCCGGGTACGCGGGACCAGCCGCAGACACTTACTCGCTGCAAATCACCAGGCGCATGCGATTTGGGGGAAGATAGTATACTGCGCCTATTTGGGCAAAGAGAGAGTTGTGGGATTGGACATGACAAAACTCGTCGCCAAAACAAACTGGGCAAAGCTTGGGGAATGGGGAATGCGTCAAGCGGTGGAACCTGGACAGGGCGCGGCCCATATTCCGTACTCTGCTCTGGGCGCCCAATCGGCAGGTAACAAGAGACCCCCGGACTGCAAACAAGCATTACAATTGGTAGGGCTCCAGTTTGGGTGGGAGGAGCGAGCCCGTTTCTCCGTGGGTTTCCAAGCAATCATATCTCAAAAAGAGGCGGCAGCCGCATGACCACTCCATATCTCTTGGCCGTCTTTTTGGCGATGCCAACTTTGACATATCTTGATCGAATCTGATCAAGAAGACGTCGCGAAAAGACTTGTCTGCAACCCTCGGAGGATCGGAGAAGAGGACATTTGGCGGTGTGCAAGAGGAAACAAGAGTGAAGCTGGTGCTGCAAACCCCGAGTGCGGCCATTCCCAAGTGATATCATGACTAACAAGCAGAAAGTGTAAAGGATGCTATTATCTAAAAATGTGCCCATGATTTCTTATCTCGCAGTTGGGAGGGCTCCTCCTCTCGCGTCCAATGTCACTTAGGGGTATAGTGTGCTGTGCTGTCGTGGTTGTGGTCGCAAAATGCGAAATGTCCCCCCTTGGATTTCGGTTCAACATCACTTAGGGGTATAGTGCTGAGGGTGCCCTCGCGTGCAACATCACTTAGGGGTATAGTGTTCTGGATGTTCGTGGGTAGTCGTGGGGTGTCCACCCGGTTATATATCACTTAGGGGTATAGCGCTGTTGTCGTTTGCTCATCCCATTACAGAGTACGAAGCAGAAACATGGCAACCGTCGGGTTCAACCGGCTTTTCTTTGGTTCTCGCTCCAATCACTCAACCTCAGCCATCCTTGGAAAACGAACTTGTCTTGTTTCACGGAAACACGGAGCGCACAAGAGGCCATGCTTGTAAGCTGACGTCTTTTCTCTCTTTCCCTGGTACCTACTGGCCGTGAGGCCCGTTCTGACATGCCTTTAAGGGAATGTCAGGGCTCGTCAGTGCTCCGTCAAAGGGAAAGTCCCGCAGGCTGCCTCACAGAGGTCGTCTTCTTATCGAAAAGCCGTCGCCGCGGATAAAAGCCGAGGGAGAATAGTGAATATATCAGATTTCCATGCTCGAAAACAGTTCTGTCTACTTATAACATGCATAATTTTAAATTAAAAGAACATGGAACTAGACGGAAAAAATACACGTACGTGCCATGAGCCAGTGTGCTCTAGTCAGGCATATTTGATCCGGGGGCAGTCGCCGCTGGCATTCCCTCACCTATTGGCGTTCGTTTAGCGCATGGGTTGGCCCTCTGGCCCATCCATTTGGAAGCCCCGCCATTGATCACAAGCAAAAGACTTGACTAATGAAGTCAATTGCCCCTCTAGGAAGCGAAGGGAGTCAAAAAGTATGTAAGGTAGGTACTCTGGTATCCCTCGACTATCCGAGCATAACCTCGAGTCAAGCTTATAACAAAGAGCACCTTCAGTCTTCTTCTACTTTCTTTGCATATTTTAGATTTCTCTTTCCCTATCTATCCTACATTTTTTTTTTCCTTCTCTTTACAAACCTTCCTCACTAGAACCTACAAGACAAGCTTGTACTACGCAAAAAGCTTGGGAAGTCCTTGTCGTGATTATCGAGCTATACACATACATATATACAGCAAAGCAATCTAGAAGCTTCAGTCAAGTCACAATGAACACTTCCATGGTCAAGTCAAAGTTCCTCTCGAACCCAGAGGACATTGGCGTAGTCGCCGTTGGCTTCTCGGGTGGTCAGGTATGTCAAATCCTGGGGATTATTACTCTTTCAAGGATGGCAACAAGACAAAGCTACTGACCATGCCGCCTTTTCCACAGTGCAAGCCTGGTGTGGACGCTGCTCCCAAGGCCCTGATCGAGGCCGGTCTTCTTTCACAATTGCGAGACGAGCTCAACTACAAGCTCCACGGCGATGACGAGGTACACTTGTACACGGACCTGATGCCCAAGGAGGACCCGCCGTTCCGCAACATGAAGAACCCAAAGGCCGTCAGCAACGTGACCGAGAAGCTCTGCGACCAGGTCTACGCGCAGGCCCGCGAGGGCAGAATGGTCCTGACCCTGGGCGGCGACCACTCGATCGCCATCGGCACCATTGCCGGCACGGCCAAGGCCATCCGCGAGCGCCTCAACCGCGAGGTCGCCGTCATCTGGGTCGACGCCCACGCCGACATCAACACGCCCGAGTCGAGCGACTCGGGCAACGTCCACGGCATGCCCGTGGCCTTTGTGACGGGCCTCGCCAAGGAGGACAAGCGCGAGTACTTTGGCTGGCTCAAGGAGGAGCACATGCTCAACCTCAACAAGCTGGTGTACATTGGTCTCCGTGACGTCGACCCCGGTGAGAAGCGCATCCTCCGCGAGAATGGCATCAAGGCCTTTAGCATGTTTGATGTTGACAAGTACGTCTCTTTCTCTTCTTCCCTTCTCTTGGTAAAAGTTTCACGAGCTAACCACCGTTGGGTCTTTTACAGGTACGGAATCGGCCGTGTCGTTGAGATGGCGCTCGCACACATTGGCAACGATACCCCGATCCACCTGTCCTTTGACGTTGACGCCCTCGACCCCATGTGGGCTCCTAGCACGGGTACACCGGTGCGTGGAGGCTTGACCTTGCGAGAGGGCGACTTTATCTGCGAGAGCGTGCACCAGACGGGCAGCCTGGTGGCCATTGACCTGGTCGAAGTCAACCCGAGTCTGGCTATTGATCACGTCGGCGCGTCGGAGACGGTTCGGGCAGGTTGCTCGCTCGTCAGATGTGCATTGGGAGAGTCGCTGTTGTAATTGATATCGCGAGACACATTAAGCGTCTCTCTCTGGTCTTTGGTGTACGACAGATGGTCTTCTTGGGCTTTTTTTTTTTATATTCTTTCGGGTTACATGGGGGTGTTGGTCATTGCTCTTCTATTTCGCTGGAGTTCAGGAACTGGGAGATGATGATTCTTGAGCTTTGGTAGACTAAATGCATCACTGTGCCCTTGCAGCATCTGTCCCTGTCCCAGTGATGATGTGCCGCGTGAGTGGGGGAGATGTTTGATTGGTGACGTTAGCCAGTCACTGTCTTTTTTTCGGTTTTCTTTTGCAAAGCGACATCGGGTTTCCTATTGTGGGTATATCCCGTTTGATCGAGGCTTCATCACAATACTATTATTTCTTGCATTGTCATGATGCAAGGTACCGCCAGGTGTGCATTGTCACGAACAATTTCCCAGCCATCTGCATTGTATGAATTGTTTGCTGACCAGCCACCCGCAAAAAGAATCGGCGCTTGGATTTGGTGTGGACGATCCTGGACGATCCGGCAGGATCCGTTCAAGTCAAGCAAGTACCTTTCTGGGCATCGATACATTTATTCCACTGACTGACACGATGAGAATGGATAGGATTCAAGCCAAAATGCCCAAAAAGAACAGCAAATGCCAAAGGCAATAGGGGAAATTGGGTTGATTCCATCGCGACTTGTCTCCAATACGATCAGGCGTTGAGCTTATGTTGGGTTGTGTACGTAGGTGGTGGTGCATAGCGCCCATGATAGGTACAAGGTAGGACGACTCTATGATCGGGTGGCCGAGCCTTGAAAGTCTACATACATACGATCTAGGTTAGGTAGGATCTAAGTAGGCAAGGTACTCTGTAGGTAGGCAAGGTAATGCAGTCAGGCCGCTGTCAATGATCCTAGTCGCCCAGTTCGATTCTCGCGTCTGCTCGTCAATTCAAATTACCGCGCTGCCCCCAGTCAACATTGCCTTGATGTTTGGTGGCATTTCTATTGTTCTCTTCTTGATGTGGTGGAATTCAAAAAGCACACGTTTACGCGTCCAAGTCGACAGCCCGGAATTAGAACCCAAACCAACCGCGAGATTCGAGATCGATTGGTCGAAAACTATACTCGGTACCTATATACCTGAACCACGACGATACAATTTTTAAGCCGACATACAGCTCTCACAACCTGGTCAGCCCTCTCGTGGCCCAGTGATTCCACGGCCAGGCCAGCACCCGGCTCCACCGCAAGCAGCCCGTTGCGCTGCACTGTATCCAAGAGAGAGATCTTGTTCGCGGGGCTCCTCCGAAGCCTGTTTGCGCGTCGTTCCAGCGCATTCGAGCCCAACAGCTTCTTATTCGCCGAGCGACATAGGAACCGCCAGCCATTGACCACGAAAGCGACATCTCCGTCGAGTTGGCAAAGAAGACCCGAGTCTGGGCATCGCCGTCGCCATCTTCTCACCATTTCATGTGACCCAGCGCAACGATTTACTACGGCAGTATTGGGCTGCCGCGCATCTTTGGACGTGAGAGTTCGTATACTGCAGATATAATATAACTTTTTGGGCGCCGCCATGCAAAGCGACTCCCAGTGAGATTAACGATCTATCGCCTACGGTCAGCACAGTCAGAGGGGAGAAAGAACAAACCGTACCCAGCGCCTCCCTTTCCGAACCCTGACGCGCTCGTATATACACAAAGGACAGGGTCAATTGCGTGTCTCTTCGAGGACCGTTTTGCGCCGAGCCCGCCAGATCCGAGAGCGAACGACTTGGACTCACGGGGCGAATTGGTGGCCTCCAATTTGCTTCGCACGCGCGCATAAGAATAAATCAATTGTGCAAAGGCGCAAGAGCAAGAGTGTAAAGAATACAACAAGCACAATGGCATCGACAATCACGTCGGGGACGGGCTCGATCGTGTTTGAGCGACGGGTAGCCACGCGCATCCACAAGTACCACTGGCCAGCCGTGCAGCTCAATGTCTGGATGCTCGTCATGCTGGCGGCGGCCAGCACCATTATCGGCGTGTTTGCGACCTTTATCTATCAGCAAGAGATCCTGGGCCTGAGCGTCCCGTGGTATTTCCCCTACTTCATCACCGTCGGTGCCCTCACCATCATCTACATTGCCATTTTGCTGTGGCTCATTTCGCAGCGGCGGCTGCTGCCCTCGATTGTCATCATTGGCGCCTTTATGTTCTTTGTGCTATGGATGGTGGGCCTCATTGTCGTCAGTATAGAGCTCTGGGGCCCCACGGGCTCCGTCAATGCCAACTGCAATCTGCTCGTCTTTGGCCAGGACCCTGGCAGCAGTAACCAAGAGAGATTGGCCTGGCTGCAACAAAGAAGTATATGTAAGTGACTCATTCCTGCTCACCCTTTTCCCCATCTAAAAGCCTCTTACTTTTGTCTTTGTTCTGAGCCTACTTTATTCTCCGTCGAACATTATACTGACCAAGTCGCACAGGCCAGTCTTGGCAAGCCCTGTGGGCTTTCGCACTGATTGGGTGTCTTTTTCTTTTGTGGATAATGATTATGGCTGTCCAAGTATTCTACGACTCTTGATCTGGATAGAGAAAGAAATCCCTTGATAGTTCCTAAGCATTGGGCCAGTGGGCATGGTAATGGAGACATAATGCAGCGTCCGCACGATTAAGATAAGGTGTATCAATATATGAATCGGTATGGCAAAACGGGAGACCAGCATTGAGGAGAGCAATTGGACAATGGAACAAAACCCGGGATAGCAAACCGTTTGTACCTGGGTAGCACACATAAGAGCATCATGTCACTAAATAGCATGTTCATATATGAATTTAAGTGAATTTATTAAAGTATTACCACTGTGGCAAGTGTTCGAGGTCGTAGGCTCGTAAGTTTATACAGATGTATGTATTGGGGGGTATCATGAATTCGTGTGGATTTAGTTGGACCACTTGGGGTCGACCTTGTTGCTGTAGAGGGATCAGTATGAGCGACGGTACTCAAATATGAAGTGCAAGAGCCTTACCCAGTCATCTTCTCGTAGCCGCTGCGGAGGGCATCGGTAGCCTTCTCCTGCTTGTCACGACCAAACTGAGCCTCGTGGCCAGACTTCTTGACACCAAAGTCGGTGACTATGGTTAAGAAACGTCAAGTTAGTACACCATTGTCCGATGGATATGTATGTCACCCCAGGTGAAAAGGATAAAACACTTACTCTTGTCGAGGTAGTCGGACTGCTGGCCACTAGCCTGAGCATTGGTGTTGCTGGTCTTGTTGCCAGAGATAGCGTTCTTGAGGGCGTCCATTTTGAATTTTAGGAGTGGTAAAGTTTGAAAAACTCGTAGAGTATAGAATTGGGAAGAGGTGTTTGGTTCAAGGTGTGATGATTTGGATAAAGAACAAAGAAGGGTGATTGTTGTCAACTTGACTTCTTATATACACTCAAGAAGTGGCATTGAGTTTGAGCTCCCTCCAAGATCCAGATTTCCAGTGACGTTTAGCTTGCCCAGATCGACCCAGTCTTTTGACAAGGGCCCCCCGCATCCCACTTCGCCCACCGATGCGCCGCAGCTGACCCTGCTGCTTTGCTTGGGCGAGGGGCCAGACCAGTAACGTCATAGCGCCGCCAAAGGGAAAGACGGAATATTGATAGCGTACATTCGAGTACCTGACAAGACTTTGGATCTTGGCTGCCTCGAATCAGTGACAAGCAGCTGCTGGTGCAAGAACAAACAAAGACAAGGTAAGATCAGGGCAGTTCTTAATGCGTCTTACGATAATGTAACGTCAAGGTCGAGTGAACCATTGTCCTGTTTTTTCACCCTTAGCAATGTCTATTTTAGCACTTTACCAAGTTCTTCCCCCCATTTAAACGTTCTCTAACTGGTTCCGTGGAAGGAAGATGATCTGCCAACTGGCGTCATATTCGTTTTCATCTGCCGGGTTCTTTCTATGCATGTAGTGTATCGTACGAGATATTCAAGGCATAGCACCCTTATCATGGAGAGACAAAAAGAGGTTTCCTTGTAGGCAGTGCCCTGATTAGAGTCTTATCGTCTATTCCTGGGCATTTGGCCAAAAACTTTCCGAACTTTAACTGCCGTCCAAGGGTCGTCTCATTCTAACTTTGTGTGTGCAATGGTGGCCAAGCAAGCATGTGACTTCTGCCGCGATAGCTATGCAAGCTCGTCTACGCCAGTGTCCATTAGCCATAAGGTAGTACCACCTAGTGTACGCCGCTATTGAAACAGCCGGAAACCCCTCAAAGACAGTCAGAATTGAGCTGAACTCTCGACTCTTGGAGGCCTGATTGTGTGGGTTCTCGGAATTGAAGAGGGAGCCCGGCCGGTTCTTCCAAGTTTCTCGCTCTTCGCAACACTTCGCGAGATCCGTCTTCAACGGCAGCAGTCAGGTATGCTCACGATGGTGGCATGAAAGTCTATGCATCTCGGGTGAGAACCGGAATACCCCCGCCTGGAGCAGCGCCAGATCCCTGATCAGCTTCAGCTTCATTCCAAGGGTCTTATGCACCCTGATCAGGGTCCCCTCTACTTGATCACGACAAGAAAACCCTGGGGATTGAGGTGCATTTAGCTGGGGGACTTGGTACGGACTGTCACTGCTGACGTTGATATGTCCATCATTGCTACCTTTTACAAGTAATGCGTACTCCCTTCGGTAGTTATAGATAACTAGCAGTTCCATGGAATACGATGGCTTCGAAATACACCGCTCTTTTTTGTACACAACTCTCACTCACGGTCTTGGCGGGAATCCCGTACTTGTTATCTCAGGCCAACTGATTCATATGCAAGTCGAGCGTTACTGGTATTGAGAGCATCATGATCAGTTGCATGCTTGGTATCAGCCGGAACAGAGGTTTCTCTGCAAATCTCATGAACTGTTTGAACTTCTTTTTTTGTCTTGTATCAAGAGGATCGCTCTATAGACTATGCCCAATGCTGGGGTCTCGACCCGTCCCCACAGGCAGGCCGAGAAATAGTAGGACTTTTGACGGCACGATGCTATGCACGCGCTTATGCACGTACTGAAACGAGCCTGTCCCTTCTGCTCTATATGTTATGCGGAAAGGTATGTACTGGCCGAAACTCCTGGCTGCCTGGCCTTTCTCAAACGCCCTGCCCTGGAAAAAGTCATTTATGGTACACTTTTGTACATAACCAAACAAGCCGTCTGTGGCATGAGATGAAAATTCAACGCTTTACTTCCTGAACTCCGGACCACCATGGCTTGTTGTCCCTTTATAACAAATCCTCGACCCAGCCCATCTTCTCTCGCCTTTCATCGGACAAGCGGGCGTATTCGAGCAGCAGACGGAAGGTATATATCTGCATGTCTTCTTTTCTCAAGACCTTCTCGGCCCATTGCTTGCCCTCAAGCGCAATCTTCTTTGCCTGGGCATCATGGCTTGGTGCCTTATCCTTGTAGCCAATAAAATACTCCATGATGGCATAATAGTCGAGGAAACGATTGTCCATGGGGACAAAGTGCTTCCAAGCCACCAGTCTGCTGTCATGCCATTCCCGCCACAAGGTACTCTTGATTGGGAGAGAGGTGCTCCTGAGGAAGCCAAGGTACCGTCCGGAAAAGGAATTGCCGTCGATGTCGGGCAGGTACTTGAAATCGAATTGGAAGTTCATGCTCTGGCCTAGAACCAAGTCAAATTCAGAGTCGGTGTAGTAACAACGTCCACCTTTTTGCTGCAGACTCTTGTCGATTTTGTCATCGCAGGCCAGATCGGTGAGACCGACATTAGCAAAGTCCCAAACCCAATTGTCGAGGTCACCTTCCCGCTGGGCCGCAACCTGGTCAGTTCCAGTTGGCAGTGCAAAGTTTACTGGAGGTGCTGTAGCAGTTGCGGCCATGCTAAGCTTTGTGGCGTTATTCATAGCCGCAAACCGGTGTCGTTGAAAGCCTTTCCAGTTCTTTGCAGTGTTTCGCCCACCGGTAGCCACACCACGCCAGATAAGGTCACCGGCTTTGGTCTCCCAATCCGAGCCATGATAGCCGCCTCCGACGAATCTTTCTTCTTCGTTCCAGTACATTGGAGCTGGAAGTAGAATTTCATTGTTGGTGGCTAGCTTGCTACCGCCAAACATGGGAAACAGAACCTTGGTTGCCGATGTTGACAAGGGCTTGATGAAAATGCCCTCGAGGCCTTGGAGGTCCGGCTGATGGCAAAATTCCTTGGATAGTGTAGCATTGGACACAAAACCCTGATATTGATGGGGTGCCGCGTACGATGGCTGGAATTCCGGTGTCTTGTCGAATGTTTTCTGCGGCTTTACGGTGCGCGCAAGGCTGTCTGGATGGCAGCCACGACGAGCGATGAGCCAGTAGGGTTCTAGTGTGACCAGAAAGATTAGCATCATCCCACGCTGTCTCAGACATTCCAACGGCGCTTACCAGTGCTCTCCCAGTGCTTCTTAATCGTGGAAGGCTTTTTGAATCCTTGTTTCACACTCGGCAGTGTATCAAACTCGCTGATAACTTGCTTTGGGGGCCAGAGACTGCGCGTCTTCTTTTCCTTCTCCATGTAGCCAGCGACATCCTCAAAGGGCACTACCAACCGGGGCTCGTCCATGGCATTGAGTGCAATGTCCATGTCCGGGAGGTATTTTTCAATGGTCTTGGTCATGTTGAGCCATATTTGCGTCCAGAACCAATCGCTCTTGGCGCTTGCGTTTCCGTTTCGGACGTTGATAGTCATCTCGTAGTCCCATGCTTCCTTGCGAATGGCGTTGGGGTCCATGCCCCAAAAGGGGTTCAAGTCATGGTAAATTTGGTCCCAAAAGTCCTCCACCATGACGGCATTCCGCTCCGTGGCAAAGTTGTACCACTCCCTGAAGCCCGGGGGCGGATGCCTGCCCCGTCGCTTGCGGTATTCGGCGGCGGCGGCCTCGAGGGTATGCGATTCCTTGTCTAACATCTCCTTCATTGTGACATCCGCAACCGTAATTAATGAGTCGATCGGATGTATGCTTGGCTTTGACGGTACGCCTTCAGAGGGCGCGTCATGATGGATTGGGTCGTATTCGATGGGTTTCTCGGCCTCAACTGCACCACCAGCTGCCTTGCCAGTATCGGCCTCGTGTGATGGACTCGGATCGTTGTTCTTGTCGGGCAGGTAGGGTGATTGTTGCTCTTGCAACTTTGTTGAGTCACTGATGCTCGAGAGATGCGACGTCGACACATCTGTACCCGCCGAGGAAAGATAGTAGAGCAAACATATTAACACGGCGGCTGGAAATATGTAGCGAACGAGGTGTGAAGGTCGGCGAGGAGGAAAAGCGGGAGAGCGCATCATGATGCAGAGACGACGACCTGCGGAGGGCGCCAGGACGTCGTCGAATTCTGCAATTGAGGGCCTCGCTGTGCCGATGGGGTTGGTCTCGAAAGGAGCGTCGAGAGGTTGACCGGATTAGGAGGTACTAGCAGAGGAGTGGAAAGGGTGAGTGAGAAGCCGTTGGCCAGATCTATGAGATTCTGCGCGCGACCCTCATCGATTGACGCAGAACCTTAAACGGTTGACCGCAATTCAGGGCAGCAATCAACCCCAGTCGGAATAAGCAAAATCTGGGGCGGGCCGATTGTTCTTCGTTTCTTCTCTCGGATGGCGAAAATAAGGACCTCTCTACCCTTTGTGCGAAAGAAAGAGGTTGTTGAAAACGACAAGGGAAAAAAAGAAATGCTCGCACTGCAACGGCAGACGACCAAAGGAGAAAGAAAAAATATGAGAATGAAGAAGAAAAAAGAAGTAAACGAGCAAAACGGTTTGTCGTTTGGGCGGACCAGGCGAGACTTTTTGGCTAAGTGAACAAGTCAGGTACGGAGGGTTGGATGAGTCGTGGATATCATGCAACCAACGGCCCCCATCGATCCAATCTTCTCCTTCTTTGGCTGGTGCAGATGCTAAGTAAATGAGTGTGGGTGTGGTACAGGTACAGAGTACGCGCTCAATATCCCGATGCCGCACCCTAGACAGACGTAAGACGGATGTAGAAGCACTGCAACCTGAAATAATAATTCCCGGCCTGGGCAAATCGAAATCAAATGGGCCAGGCTGATTTGGGATTGGACAAGTGACACTCTGTGTACGCAATATCGTTGTACTGGCAAAAGCGGGCAATGTCAATCCGAAGTGGTAGTTGAGGAGAACGGCAGACCTGTTGGTTTGTTGGCTGTGTTTGGTCGGCTTTGATACTATCTTTCTGTAGCACACTGGCCTCAAGCTAGCTGCACGTCCGACGGATAGAATGTCAAGTTTTGGCTAAGGATGCGGGTTGCAGAAATGACAAGCGATGGAGTAGGTAGTACATAGATGCCTACTACATACCGAGTCCCGGGGGTTAAGGTGGAAAGGAAAGCGACGATACGAAAATGAATTGGCCGAAGCCGAAGATCTCTGCAAGCGAGAACAGACGAATGATAGTACCTAGATAAATAGCGTGCCGGACAGGAATAAGCTCAAGGCCAACTGAAATGAATGTGGAAGCCTCAAAATGGGGCAAACATGACGATGGCGACAAGGACCTGGGTAGCCGGGCAAGGATCAAGACTTCCGTGTCCCCGAATACTTTGGAAGGACTGAGAGGCGTCAGAATCCTTCAGCTGGCCGGATTTAGGATGAACGAGTGTGCCAGTCGATAGGCAGGTCAAGGTAAGGTAGAGGCCAAAAGGTGAATTTGGTTGATAAGTTACCAGTACTACTACTACTACTACCAGTAAAAGAGATGGATGTGAAGGCAGACAGTGGAAAGAACAGGGGATCGTCACATGTGCATGAAAGTCAACCAAAGTGTCGGCGTCTCGCCAAGACCTCTCTTCTTTCCCATTTGCACAGAGGGAAACAAAATGGCAGAGAAAATCTGCAGAGCAGCAAGGTGGTGCAGTGACTGGCGACTGGGCACTCCCCAACCCCAAATCCACACACCCAACAAACCATGTTGTGCTTCCTCGTCCTTGTTCTCCTCCATTGACTTGACTGGAAATCCCCAAAACGCCCGCGTGCAAGAAGGGACAAGTTTTGCCTTTGGCAGAGACAATAAACGGGTGGCTCTCCAACCAACAACAGGGGCGCGCCGTTTCGGGGTGTCTTTGCCAATCTTCGGTGCTCAATGGGGGAGGCTTCGAGAGCGCTAACAAGAAGCCACGCCCACGCCCCCCTGGCGCCCTCTTTGTTCTCTTGCGGGGCACCATTTTTTAACTTCGAGGGCCAGCAGAACAGGGCCAATTTGGTTAGTAGCTGGGGGGCATGGCCTAATTAGTGGGGTTCCCATATCCAACTCGGCGCTCGACTGCTCAAACTAACCCTGAATTACCAGCACGTTGGCGGCGTAGCAGCTCCTGTGTGTTCCTAGCCTTTACCTGTTTCAGATTGGAGAGATGCAAGCATTGGGGAGGGAATGAATACTAAGCAGGGAACCATTTCGATCATGCCAAGACTGCTGTCAGCTCAAGTCAGCGAGAAAGCTGAATTCACCTATGAACGAGCTCATCTACGCGCCTTACCGTGACCATGTACGTGATGACAATTCGAATCATATCCTGGATGTTTTCGGTGTGTGGATGACCTACGCATGAGATGGGAACAAAATCCCGCTCCTTCAAAAGTGGCTATGGCCAACTCACACGTAATAAGAGTGTAGTGCTGGGCGAAACGACACCTGTTCGACTTTTGCTGGCCACCGAAGTCTTGTATACATGTGCCAATCAATCCTTTCGTTAGCATGAATCGCGAATGACGATGAACAACACAGCCAGGCACGGGATGGCAGAATTTGGAGGATCAGCACAATTGAAGGAGTGAGGCTTTCTTGTGGATAGGTAATATCATGCTATCTACCTTGGAGCCCTATCTCCTAATCAGCAATGATCGTGGCTGATGTGTTTCACGAACAAGAAGATCTTTTTTCCCCCATCGACGATGCAGTGATGTCAACTCTATTCCGCTCATCCTGGTCGGCCGCCGTGCCCACTAGTAGTATATAATTAATTTTATAAAAACGACGCCTTCAAGATGTCAGTTACGGAAGCTTACCGAAAGGAAGAGCCCTTTCAGACTGCCCCTGCTTTCTGGACTCCTTCATCACGGTATGTCTAAGCGCGTGATGGACGTGAATGCAGGACAAGCAGCAGCACTCCGTAGGTAATAAGTTGGTATCCATTTTCTTTTCTTTTACATGCTTTCTACATTACCTGGTTTTGCAATATATACAGCAAATTTCCTTGCGCTATATTCTTGTTCTTGCTAGCTTTTCCTTTCCAAAAGACATCATCTTGACTTCAAGCAACAAGCTACGCACCTGACCATTGTGTCGTGCTCTCTCCACAGATCCCAAACAAAGACCCCCTATTCGCGGCACCCACATGGAATGTCACCGGTACTCCGGGAGCGGGAAGGACGCTAGGAATTGGATGCAATCACTTTAGTCGAACGGCGAGCCACCCCCGGGCGACGGCGCGCAACACTTCTAGGGTTTGCATAAAGACTACGGAGAGTCGCCAGATCTTTGGAGAAACAAATAAATAGGTATCTCAACCGCTGCCTCAGTATAGCATTGCAATCATCATGATACTGGTACGTATATCGCGCGTGCCCCGGACTATAAATCTGCGCTGCTGTCGAACACGCATAACATGAAGGGGACCGTGGTGTTTGTTCTAAATGACCCATTGACAATAGTGTACGGAAATTAGGCTAGCTAATAAGTTAGTGAGCCGCCCCCCGGATTTTCTTTTCTTTTCTTCGTCTTGGAGGTATTGAGAAAACAAATCTTAGACATGTCTCACCACCAATCTTGTCTCACAGCGGGCCGCACTGAAATCTGTCTTGGGAGGTTGGTTTCCGTGAATAAGTCGCGTCGTCCCCAATGATCAGGGTCAGACAATATTACGCCTCTCTTTCTCATTCCGGCCTGCGGCTCTACACGCAAGTGCTACGATAAAACGCGGGTAGGCTTCAAGTTCTTGGTTTCGAGTCTCCATACTTTGTTAAATCAAATAATTGCTGCAATGGGACGAAAATTCGAAATTTGTTTGAAATAACAGGATAAAAACGCCCCATGATCTTCGTGGTGCGTGCCCCTGTGGTAACGAGAAGCATGCTGGATGCGCAATTGGCATCATCTTTGGGAGAAAAGCTTGTTTGGATCTTCATCCCAACTTTCTCTTTTGCTATACATAGCACATAAGCTGTGACGGTTTGCTACCCTCTAGGCACCGGAAGCCCACATTTCAGATACCCGAGTTCGAGCATGGGAGCGAGATTCAAATTCACGGATTGACAGATGCCGAAAGCTTTGCGGAACGGACCTCAAGCCTGTTTACTAACATGCAAGTCTGGTGGATTTGACAATTTCATCCATATAACTTGAGAGTGGAAGACACCGTATTCTCGTTGATAAAATTGTTGTTCCAGTACAAGTATCAAAACGGCTGGTCATGGAGTACATTAGTAGTATGCTTGTAGAATGGAATGTATATTATCATAGCTGTCACAAGTCGCGACATATTAACACACAGCAGTTGTCTTTCTCGAGACCACCGACTCACCTCGTGTGCATCGCATCGTCGTCTTCAGTATAATCTAGAGATCGAGCAACCAAATCTACAAAATCTGGTCGCAGTGGCCACTGGCACCACTGTTCCAAGACCTCTTCCCACTGTTTTGCACTGAGTGATCTAACCGCCAACTCCAAGCCCTTCGCATCAACGTTGACACCGCCTTGCTTTGGATCAGTGAGACTGGGGCATCGCGGCACGATCCAATCACTTGCACCAGGCCAGACCGTATCAAGAGCCCTTTTCAAATCAGCTCTTGGTTCAGCCCAGAGTGCCTTTTCCATAAGCTCAAAGCTCTCCCCAGTCCGATTGGAGCCGAAACCAATGTCGCGAATGCGGTGGTGTACCGGTCGGGGTGAGATATCGAGTAAAGATGCTTCAATATTCGGGAATATCTCATCTACGGCTCCGAGGAGAGGTTCATAAGAACGGCGGTCCCAGAGAAGCACGGGTTCAGCCTGTTGCCAGAGGTGCAGATTGTCCCTGTGAGTCGTGAACTCGGACTTGCTGGTTATTGGTAACCTCTCATATTCTGTGCTAAGCACCTGCTCTTGGGCTCGAATTTCCTCTTCACTCATATCCCCCCTGGTCTTGGCGGCGCTCAGCTCCTTTCCGCGTTGGAGCAGATCATGATACTGCTCAGCCTTCTTGAGGGTGCTGTTGTTGCGCCACATCTTTGACTTGAGGGAGTCAAAGTCCCTGGTACCACTCCGAGGATTCAATGCCTTGAGTTCCTCTAGATCTTTCATGTACGCTCTGTCCCAGACGGGTGGGACTGTGCCCGGAACCGGAAGTTTGTCAAGATTCTTCAAATCCTTTTGTGCTTGCAAATATGTATCCGTTTCTCTGCCTCTTGGTACCTTAAGACCGGCGTCTTGCATCCTCTGTAGTGTAGCGACTGCGCTCGCGCGATCTATAAGAGTGTCCCGAGTGAAAGCGAAATGATCAGGACTATTCCAGCCAACGACCTCATTGATGCTATGACAGAGAAGCTCGGCATCCGATGCTGTGCGCTTGCGTTTCTGCATTAAGCGCGGCAGCAGGTTGGTCTTGTCCTCGCGGCGCACCCAAACGAGCATCCGGACTTGTCCATATTTGTGAAAGAGACTCGACGTCTTGATAGAGTCCATGAATTGGTGTAGTAGGAGCGTCGCTATCGAATCAAATGCCTGGAATTTCTTTCTTGGGTGATATGTGAAATTTACATTAACAAGAAGTGTATCGTTGGGCGCATTGGATCCAGCATCGTCTCTCTTGAGTGGCTTTTGGTGTGGGAGATATTGCGGGCTGAGAACAGAGTTGAGTTCCTTCCATATAATGCCAGACTTTGGTATGAGCGATGTGCCCTCTTTGTCTAGGAGCGGCTGCAGAAATTCGCGGTAGAGCTCTGCATCGGGTTCCATTAGGATGTGAGATCGCGGCTCTAAGAATTCGTTCAACTTGCGACTCCATAACCCGGCGCCTGGATTGATGTCGATCAGGTCACAGCCCTTGTGTTTCTCCAACGATTTTCCAATATAACTCAAAATGTCGTCGCATAGTTTTTCGCCGACTATGTTGACTCTAGTCTTATCTCCAGTGAAGGGTGGCGGTCCGGTAGCCAGGTCGGCTTTTTTCTTCCCGGCATATCTCGTTACCCATACTCTGGTATCTCTTAGCTGCTCAGCTACCGGGCCCTTTACTTGCAGATGGTAGGATTCGAGTCTGTTGTTTGTTTTTTGTACATAGGAACGCTTATTTATGGCATGCCTATTTGCGACGAGTCGGAGGCAGGTCCGCGGAGTGGAAAGATGCAAAGGAACGACTCGAGTCGGAAGCATTGGCGGTGGTGATGTGACGAGTGAGACGCGGCAAGACCCTGGTAGGTCTTCACAGCATCCAAAGAGAGAGAAAAGGAGAAAAGAAATGAAATGACGGGGTATCTTGAGAGGAAAAGTCTAATGGGTATGGTATCTAAAGAAGTACGGCAATGGACAGACGTTAAAGATGCCATGGGTATCAGTTTGCAGGTTTTTCGATGTCCTCGTTGCTGCAACAGGCCGGAACTTTTTTTTCTGCCTCCTTCTACCGCCCCAATTGGCCCTGCCAAATGACGAAACGTCAACTCGTAGCCCCCCAGATTTTGAGCATGGGCCGTTCCCGAGGTCTACAAGGGTTTTTTTTTTTTTTTTTTGAAGGCCTGGGCTGATCTCCAGGGGCTCACCTATGTACACTAGGTCTGGTGGGGAGATCAAATGAGGTACGTACTGGTCATTTACGTACACTCATGCCAACATGCTGCATCGGTTGTGCAGTATTTAAGGCTGCATGGCTTTGCAGTGAACTAGAGGTAGGTATTCGTTGAGTCTGAAAAGGGATGCATACCTAGGCATGTGCTTTGCACTTCTTATATCAAGTGTCATCTCGGTGTGCATTTAATTTGTCACAAATGGCACCTGCCTTCATTGTATTTGGGCGTGTCAAGATTGATCTGCCATCGACCTTGAAATGCTCAGTCACTCATATGTCCCTGGTGCAAGGCTTGCAAGGGGTGAGCACTTGGTGTTCGTGCGCATGTACGTACATCGTCCGCCCACTTCTAGCGGGCCGCACTTCGCTAAGTCGCCTAGGTTAGGTTAGCAGTGGTTGGCGGGTTTGCTGAGATCGGAACCGCGCCAACGTCGCGTTACCACTACTACTACGTACAGGCTCCAGAGTTGTAGATATCGCCATATATTGATAATACTTACGACGGGTCCTCCAGCGATTCGTACCAGTTTCTGTCTCCTGTGAAAAGTCGCGGTATTCCCTTCAGAGTCGCAAAACCTCTGTTAGAGATCGGGCTCCAGCACGGCAGGATTTGGGTCTCCTATCGATCCACAGTAGTCTTCATTATGTACGCCCTTTTTTCTTGTTAATCTTGTCAACAAGACAATTGTATAGCAAATCACTGACTGATATCTTTTTTTCTTAGGCTTGAACCATCCCAACGAATTAGAAGGGCAGTTCATGCAAACGACTCCCTCCTCGTCCAACGCATCCTCAAATCCCACCCACAGCTCATACACAATCCCGACATCACCCCCGGTGGCCTTTCCGACTCGAACCTACACCTCGCCGCGAAGCTCGGTCACTTGGACATTTGCAAGATCCTGGTTGCCAATGGACACGAAGATCCAGTGCCTGCATTGAATGAGCACCATCAAACGGCTCTCATGCTAGCGGCAGGGGCTGGACACACAGAGGTAGTCCACTTCTTGTGCGAGAACGACCCTTCTTGCATACAGCGCCGAGATATCCGCGGACGGGATGCAGTTATGGAGGCCAGTTTGGGTGGGCACGACACCGTTCTTCAACTTCTCCTTACCTTTGCACCTGGTGGTGCAACTGCTGCCGTGCAGTCTTCGGACCGAGACGGCAATACGGCGCTCCACTTTGCCAGCAGCAATGGGAACCTTCTAGTCCTACGCACACTGCTTGCTGCGGGCGCTGATGCCGAGAAGAGGAACATCTGGAGCTGGAAAGCCGTTGCATACAGTGCAACTGTACAGGCCGAAGTCTACCTGAAGAACCTCGTGGGCGATATCGAGAAGAGGAGACGTGCTAAGAGCGATGGCGATGAGTCCAGGAAAGGTGCTGCAGTTCGTATTGTCGAGCATGATGCTTCTCCGAGCGGCTGAACATTCTGTTCTGAGGAATTGGATACCACTCAAAGTCGCTGTCCGTTGGCTCTTGTGTCTGGTAGTCTTCACGCGGACTGCCTCAAGGCCACGTAAATGCCGCATGGCAAAGGGGCCGGCAGAGCATCCTGAATGGATGCGGTCCTTGCATTGACCATGACGACTTCGTCATCAATGGCTCCAGGGACGAGCCATCTCTGAGGAAAAGATTTCTGTGTACTCAGAGAATACTCCGGGAAATGGCAGAGGAGAAGCGTCACAGGGGCTTTGGCATTGAAATAAGGCTGCAGATTGCATGCCAGCCGAGCCTACGCGCAAATTTCGTACCAAAACTACCCATGGCCATGCCGTTGGGCTCAAAGTCGAAACTCGGATGTCCAGACTCAGATGTCCAGACGAGCGGACGAGACACTAATGCTCCATGATCAAACTCCCTGTACATCCTGCAAGGCGCCGGACGTTTGAAGAGTAGAATGCATATGCATGCCACGACCTTAGTGATGACCTGCACAAACAGGAAGTAGCTTTAGCAAACCTCTCGAGCTACTCAGTCAAAGACAAGCCTGCCGAGTTTGGAATGTGTTTAGGTCTCTGGACCGTCAATAATAATCTAGCTACTGACAATGAAGCACTAAATGCTGGAATACCATCCTTCTCTTTGATTCTTTGGCGAATACCGCCCGCCATTCTAGGTATTTCTCTGCCACTCTATCTACAAACCGACACTGGGACTATCCCATGCGTTTCTGATTTTCAATACTTCTATATGTCGCCCTATTCCTTCAACATATTGTTTTCCCATCATTCAGGTTATCAGAAAAGATTCTGCTTATGTTTTGCTCATATTGATCTTGAGCACCGCCCTCTACCTATATAGCCACGCACCTCTGCGTGGATATGACCACCTCCAAAGTCTATCGATCCACTAATGTGTTTTTTTTTTTTTTTTTTTTTTTTGGCCTCAATTATGAAGTACGGCGGAAGTTTGCGACGCCCTTGATGATATTTCTTTGTTATTCAAAACGTGTCAGTGCATAACCGTCCGGTAAAATGTCAGGCAGCACAGTTGATGGGTGATTCACTTGACCTGCCCTGTCACGTACAGTAGTCTTTACCCATGTGTAAATGATATCAGATTCGTGTTGCAAGGCGACCAGTGTTCCATGCAGAGGCTGAATTGGTTCGCTCATCCCATTTTTCACTTCTTGTGAGCTGCCATGGTGTGTCAATGCCAAGTGACAAACTTTATTGCTGGTTCCTGGTATTTTTCGTTTCTTTTTGGTCAATAGGATCTTTGATTTCTACAATGCTCATCATGGTCTGGTTGGCTATTGCTGTTGAGTGTAGATGTCAAGCCAGGACACCAATCATATTCCACTTTCCATGCAATCTACTATACTACGCACTGTACTTGACTTGTATACTACTTGCTTGAAGAATGAATGATACTCATGGTTTCATCTCTAGTATATGGCTTTCCTAAATGCAATCAGTGATATGCAGCCGTGTTGACTTATCATGGCTCTCGGGAGGGCATGACTACTGCCGCAACTGGGTACCTTTATCATCCAATATTGCCCCCCCGTTCCGTCACGCAACCTCGATATGATTCACACACTTCAATTTCTCGCATCCACGACCTCCAGTATGATTCACGAGTCCAAGTGTGGTGCCATTACTCATTGCAGTGAATCTGTTGCAAATGCTATTCACACTCCATCTCTCTGCTGATTGATCTCAGTGGATTATAAAATCTACCTCGAGACTCATTTCTTCAAACTTTCCTCCCTATTTCATCCTCCTCCTCTCATCTGACTCTTGTCAAATCACCGATCGACAAGCTCCCTCTACTCTCAATACTTGTCTACAATCACCATCGCCACTGCGAACAAGATCCCGCAGAGCGAAATTTGCTCTCTGTCGTGGCTTATACCACTTCAAGTTGAGCCATAACATCATCTACTCATCAGGTAAGTTCGATTCATCCTGACTTGGACTCCCAACCGCATCACGTGGCCTCCATGCTGCCATTTGCCAACACCACTGCATCGCTGAATGATCTCTGCTGACGCCATAATACAGTCTGTACTCTGGTGCAGTGGATATAATCCTTGACTGCCTGCATCCATCCTGTCTCGCCATCATTTCGGTAATAGGCATTTGTAAGTCTTCTAGGTTCTGGTCAGCCAGTAATGTACATTGTTTCTTATTACATGGACATCAACCTTCTGTCGTATTGAAGTGTCCGAGACCAACGCGCATGCTGACCCCTCTCGTCTAGAAGAACAACTTCTCAGTCTGGGCTAGTCACAAGTGGCTGGTCAAGAGTTGCGAAACTGGATTCTCCTCGCCAGCCGATTTCACTGCCTCGTCCAGCAGTCAAGTGTGTCATCGGCCACTACATTGAAGTCTTTGAAGATCTCTCTTGGGCTTGTGTCATTATCGGGTCCTTCTACGACCGCAACGACAAGGAGCTCTGGCATACCGAAGTCATTGTCCATCGCAAAGCCAGAAGAGCTAGGCGGACCCAGTCAAGCCAACCTCTTATTCACAACACGCCTGGTGAGTGACTGTTTTCGTGTCACGCAGTGTTTCAACTTCTGGCAAATATATATATATATTGCACCAATCATCTGCCTGATTTCGCTCAATATCTCTATTTCCATATGGGATACTTTTTTGTCACAGTCCAACTTACCACCAATCGATACTAACAAGCGAGTTTACAGAAATCAGTGCGTCTGACTGCCCCTTTCCTGCATATCAACAGCTGCAACGGCCAACAACCGTGTTCTCGGCTTTTAGCACCCAAGTACCCTTTCCATCTCCCCAATTGAATCCACCCCGTTACCCAATGGCTACCAACATTGGTCGTGGCTGGAGCCCCGGTTCCGGCTTTGACGATGGTAATCTGCCTCTGGGCACTTCTTTTGCTGGTTATGGTGGGTTCCCAAGCATGCCCATCTCGGGTTATCCCGTAGGTGCTTACGATGGCTTTGCCATGGCAGGCATGACCAATGGCTTTGCCCAGACCATTCCAGGTCCTCCCGGCGGCGTCGGTCCTGTCTATACCATGCCGGCCAACGGCTACCAGCACCCCGTCCCCGTCTTCCCCAACCAGCCCGAGGGCCCTCGATACCCTACCGCCCACCCCGTCGTCCGCGGCGACGCCCCGGCCCTGAACATGCAGAACTCGACCGGCGGCATGGGTTGCGAGCCCGGCTACAACTACTACTTCCCTGCCGAGCACACCAAGGTACACATTCTCCAGTGCACCGTGCCCCCCTGGCGCATGGCCAACGGCACAAACATTCCCTTCACCGCCTACCACGTGCCCGTCAATACCACCGTTGCCGAGATGATGAAGGGCTGGGGCGCCTGTAACCCGCAGCGCAAGAAGAACAGGATCACCGAGGTGGTGCAGGGCGGCGAGGGCCGCTTCTACAAGGGCACCACCTTTTCGGGCGACGAAAAGGCCGAGCTCAAGTTGACGGCCAAGGAGATTGGCTGGGACATGACCCGTTCTGGTCGCGCTGGAGAGAAGCCTGTTGTGTGGCTATGGGTCACCAAGGACTAAGGGAGGGAAAGAAAAGGAGAGATACGTGGCGCGATTTCTGCACGTGAAAAAATATGGTGATTAGTCAGGCGCAAATAATTTTATTGCAGTCATGGTGGAGAATCGATCCCACGAGCGACGGGGTTTGACACTCTATAATGTACTTTCTTTTTCTGCTTCAAAAGCTTCCGTCACAATCAGTCGTGAGATATGACAGTCTTCAGAATTGTGTTATCCTTGTGCTCGAGGTAGCTAAATCATATTACCCGTTCAATTCATGTACGCCATCATGAATGACGGGTGTATTCACTCTATTTTATCAGCATTGATTTTTGCCTGATCAGTCGTTGAACATGGCTGCTTCGACTCCCAGTGAGTTGTAACGTTTATCACGTTGACTGCCATTTCCAGATCCCGTGCGCAAGAGCTCCAGCCGTTCAAGCGGGAGGGAAAGCTTGGTTAAACACCTCTATATAATCCCACTTTCCCAACGGAACACCTATCTGTCTAAGGATGGCGTATAAAATGTTGAGGTGAAAGTATACTGCACAATACTTGGGTCAGTTACCATCTTTACGCAGAGACGGAGTGAGAGTGAGAGTGAGAGTGAGAGTGAGAGAGAGTGAGAGAGGGAAGAGAAGAGAAGGGAAGATTGAATATATATATATAAATGTTCAAGATATGGGGCAAGGAGTTTTTAGTGTGCAACACATGGCTGAAAAGACATACTATATGGTACAACGTATCGATGCACGTAATTAGCACCCGTTGCTTTTCTGATCTGCGTCGCGAGATCAAAGGTAAACTCGAAATCTTCCTTGCCGTCGACGGACTCTCTGGCAACGGCGTCCAGATCCCGAATCGCCTCGTCCAAGAGGTCAAACAGATGCTGAACGTTTCCCTCGTAGGGCGACAAGACTCCCGTGAGGTCAGTGCTTGTAGGGCGGCCCGCGACTTTTTCAATAAAGCGCTCCGTCACGCGGTGCAGGATGAGGATTTGGTTCGGCAGGGGCACCATGTCGGTGTAGATGCGCGCGCCGAGGAGGTCGGCGTCGGAGATGTTGTTGGCCTGGGCATGTTTAACGCCTTTGCGGAGAATGGAGGATGCCGTCTGCAGCGACTCCCTGATAATGGGGACGCTGACGTCGTAGAGCGAAGTCATGGTGAGGAACGAGATGTCTGTGAGACACTACTGGATGTGGTGTTGTGTATTGTTTATTTGATAGTGAGTCGTTGGTCGGCTTTTGTTCAATCCATCATCTTATATAGATATCAATTGTTTCTTACTCGTGAATCCATAACTGTGCATATGTACTGTTGCAACATGGGGGCTGGATGCGACCCACACCGTGGCTCTATACCTATAGTGGGAGCGTTCCCCCCGTCCTCTGGTAGGGTAGCATTGCAGATCCATGCCATGAAGATTGAAGATTGAAGATACATTTTGATATGTACTTTGGTAGGCAAGTCTCATACTACTTCTGTACGTGACCCCAAGTTTGATAAGATCCTTAGTCTAAAGAATTGGTTAAAAGCAGTGATATTACGAAAGTTGATTTCAAATCCACATAAAGTCGAGCGTGGTACGATGGTTCATAGTGTATGCTTACAAATGGGCAGACTACTTTCTGCCTGTTTGATATGACCAACGGCGTGGGTGCGACTTGATTATGCAGTGAAGATTATAAACGGATCAGTAGCACCGGCTAAACCTTTCTCCACTTTCGTTTGTCATTGCTATCAAGATTAAGCCATGAATAGGTCTGTTGAGTGCATCATCGTACTTCTTCGCATGTCCGACTCGTATAGTCTCTTTCGTGCGGGGCGAGCTGTCAGACTTGGCAGAGGCGCTAGATTGTGTGCTATGATCCATCCGGGCCTATAATGACTGGTGCTATAATACCATGCTTTCATGGTATACGAGTGAATACAATGATTGGCAGTAAAGACAAGGCTTTCCCAAATTGATCGAAATTCCCTCCCCATGCCCAATGCTGTAAGAACCGCGTAAACGGCAGTTCTCAATAACATGTATGCCGAATGCCAATGCCGAATGCAGTGCCGATCATGATGCATATGCTGATTTCCATAATTAAAATCCCAGAATCTGGTTTGCTACCTCTATGGCCTTCCTCGATCCGTTTGGTTCTTGGTCCTTTGGTGAAAGTCTTGCAAAGCCCGCAGCCCGCAGCCCCTCGGTATCCGCAAGAGATCTGAGGTACTCGGGGCCACACTTGTCAATATGCTGACTCTCGCCTATGCCGCCAGGGAAATCAGGTCCGGGCGTGCCAGTGATAAAAGCTTCTCTCTGTCGCTTGAGGTATTTGGCGTTGGTCTCTGTCGTCGGACAGACGGGAATGTATAGTACACTTGAGTCGTTTTTGCCCATGTGAACCCTATCGACAGCATGGATGGCTGGATTCGGATCAGTAAATGCGCACACATAATTTAAGCAAGCCATTACAACTTACTATCACAATGCCAGACGGCAAAATCACCAGGTTTTACATGTGGCATGTGGACCATGCACCTGTTGAGCTCAAGATGGGGATGTAGCTCGTCATTCAGCTCCTGTCCAGCGCCGAGCACAGCTCCTTGCAGGTCACTCGTCATCTCGTCGCCGCAGAACTCCCAGTTTTGCTGGCTGAGAAAATCGGCGGGTGCCACGTCGGCAGATGACTTGATGGGTCGGAAGAATGGTCGCAATAATAGATATGCGGTGGAGAGTCGGAGTAGAGGGTTGACTTGCAGAGTGCCCTCATGCGGTCCAGTGTAGCTCATGCTCAACCAGCCTTGAAACATGCGGAACATGGAGCACGCACCCAACCCATTGTAGTTGTCTATCACGGCTGGTACGCGGGTGCTTGCGTCCCACGGATCGTACTCTTCCCATTTGCCGGCAAACACCTTGTCGTATACCTTGCCGAGGCCGTAGCCATCCTCTTCCCATCTCTCGACACTGCCGCCATCGAGGTGGGGACCTAGGGCAAATTTGGCATCTCCAGGTTGGCGAATGCGTAGTCGGTCAGCATAAGCCAGGGGTTGTTCCAGAGAAATGGCACTGTTCGGGTCGGACAGGTGCCAGAGACCCATCAAGGCGGTATGGACTTTGAGTAGGTTTGGGTGGGATCGTGCTTTCAATTGCGGAGCAGACCAATACAGCTCAAAAACTTGAGGGTCATTTTGAGGGAATGCTTGATCTTGTTAATGGCAGCAAATGCAATATTTCCCGTGAGTATATCATACCTTTGGTGTGGGGGTTCTTCTTGACATATTCCTCTAGCTCAGTCTTGTATTGTCTAGCCTCATGCTCTGGCACTACACCCCGAATGACTGCTACGCCCCTCTTCTTGAGCTCACTGCGTAGGACGGCAAGGTTGCTGTCCAGGTCTTTAAAGTCAACCGAGGGTACGGCATTGGGCCCTTCTCTTGCCACTATTTCATTCTCAATCCTGAGTTGCTCAAGAAGTCGTCCCCAGCTGGCCACAACCTCATCCTCGTGCCCTTGGATCAGCCTCCGTTTCAGATCCAGGAATTTCTGAGGCAGAGGTACGAAGGCGGTGCCGGACAGCGAGGCGAACGAGTCTGATATATCGCCTTCTCGCTTGCCCTGAGCAGAGGAGGCTGGCGGCGGAGGCTTTACCTCGATTTGTGTCTGGGTTTGTGTTGCCGACATGCTGACTAGCCTGACATGCCGCAGTCGTGGAATCAGGCTGCGATTAATTGACGAATGGAAGCGTAAAGAGTGTGATAGGAGAACCATTCTGTCGGACAGAAACAGTATAAATGTGTTTTTCAAAATTCAATGATACAGGCAGATAAGCGAGACCAATGGGTCGACCCTTTTGGGTTTGGTGTCTCGTGCTCGAAAAAGTCCTATGGGGGCTGAATACCACCCGGGTGCTACGTTCCACACGAGTAAGACAGCCAGTGATGAGAGTGTGGATTTTGTAGAAAGATGTGGTAAACTGGATTGGGAAATGCCGTTGCGTTGAAACATGATTGATAACATGATTGCATGCAGGAAATCCCATAGGATTCTCAATAACTGGAGGAAATAACACCATTTATTGGTACCTTGGCCCCAGAAATGACAGTATCATAACATAATTAACCCGAATGCGAGGGGGGTGCCAAGAAGATGATGGACAGTCAAAACCCAAAACGAATGAGTATTTGAACATGTGCAGCTGAAGCTTAAATGACTTGGGGGTGGTGGGTGACGGAGATTCTCGATTTAGATTCTGGTGGGGGATTAACGGAGTGCCTCGTTTGGGCTTAGGCATGAGCTGGGGGATGGCTTCCCGATATCTCCACTTCTTTGTAGAGCTGCTGCTTGGTTCCCGAATCAATTGATCCATCCATATTCGTTGTGTACAGCTGGTCTCGTTCGAGCTTTGGCCCCCGTCAAGTCCCGTCCGTAACCGTGCTCTTACCCCCTCCACAGTCTGTTCCTGCCCATCCATGTCTGGTCCGTTGGGTTTGGCTTCAACATGACCTGACCTGATCTGACCTGACTTGACCTAAGGGTAGTAGCTACCGTAGCGTCGTTCTTCCCGTCTGTCTGACCCAAACCGAACCCAGCTTCTAGGCTGAATTTCGCATAGACGGAGATCAGTGGGCACGCACATCCAGTGCCAATGCGCTCCCTCGATTGCGCTCCGTGACGCAGCCTGCAGTGTACGAAAGTGCGGTACTGATCTTGTTATTGGAAATCCTTGTTATTATTATCTTCGCTTGCGGGCTTGTCTCTTTTCGCCATTCCTCAAAATAGGCATATCCAGCCGTCTCCGGCTCCTCCTCCACGCGCCCGGTGCTCCGATCCCAGGAGCACGACTCGCGGACCATGGTCAAGTTTGTCGGCAACGACGAGTCTGGCCTACCACTCAAAAGAAAACAGGTTGCTCAGGCCTGTGACTCGTGCCGGAAGCGCAAGGTACGCGGCTTTTTGATCCGTCTGATCGGTCTACTTTTTTTTTTTTTTTTTTTTTCCCTGGTCCCTCCCATCTCTTTTCGATCCATTTACTATGTACATAGTCTCGAGTCGTGTCGGGGCCCCATCATATCCATGTGTCTCGTTGCCACCATGCTTGCCATGCTGTGCCGCTGATAGCTTGTTCTTCCTTGCGCACAGAAGCGATGTGTTCACGAGTACGACTTAAGTCCGGAGGACAGCAGCCCAACATACAATTCGGAATCTCCGACCAAGCCTGTCCGTCGTGTCTCTCACAATGCCGGGGAGACGCCTGACTTGTCCCCTACAGAGCTGAGGTCCCAGGGTTCCATTCCACCCCAGCCGGAATCCCGGGCAGCAACTCGCTTCGTAGGGGATCTTAACCCGAGACACCTGTTCATCGAGGCCACAAGCCCGCACTCCGCCCGAGATCTCTCGGTCCGGGGTGGTGTGGGCGTCTGGGAGTCTCGGAATACCGCCCAGGATGCCCGGTCAGCAGCTGCACCCAGATCCGCACCCTCCTTGATCGGACCGTCTCAAACTATGCAGAATCTTTTGGCCCAGCAAGTCCAAGTAAAATATCAAACATGTGTACCGGCTGTCCAGGACTGGTTTGCTCTGAGGAATATCTATCTTGGGAAACAAGACCCACTGTATCCCGTCATCAACATAGCCTTGGCTGATGGTCAGGATGCTGGTTCCATCCTCGTCAGGCAAGTCATCAGTCTTGCCGCGGCTGCAAACTCACAGGCCATGCCCCATCTGAGACTACTCCCCAACGGGGTGTTACTCAGTCGTCCCGAGTTCACCGCCGCACTCTCTGTGGCAATCTATACTACGGTCGAATCTGGATTGATCACAGACCGTGTGTTGCTAATCCGCGTCCTGCTTCTCTTCTCCATGTACATGCAACCTACTTGTCCCGAAGAGGCTGACATGCCGACGGCCATATTTGCCAAGGCGGCTCATCAGTTTATGACTCTGGGACTGCATCTCGACATGGGAGCGGCCGAGGCCGACCATGAAGACTTGCGATCTCTCTTTCTGTGTACTTGGGCCCTGGACCGTCTCAACTCGGCCATATACGGCAGATCATGCACTGTACACGAGCGAGATATTGGTTGGGACTTTGAAGATTCCATCAAACGGCAGAACCCGCCGTTCCGCTTACTACTGTCTGTCGTCAACCAGCTCGAGGACGTCATTGACCTGTACCGGCCACAAAAGGACAAGGACTTTATTGACATGCCAATCCTTGAGCAGCTCATAATTGATTCCGAGGCCACTCAGGTTTCTGAAACTCTACTCGGTATGTAGACAGCCTAGAATGAAAAATCATGTCGCTAGATGTGAAAGCTGACATGTAACATAGCGACTGTGGAGGTCTTCTACCACGCTGTTGCCATCCTGTCGTGTCGTGTCAATCAGGAACTAACCAAATCAGCGCTTCCGTCACGAGCAAACAACAGCCGGCGCTCCTTGTCAGCAGATCGGATTACCGAGCTTGTACGCGACAGCCTTGGCGACCGCGATAGGCTATCGTACCTGCCCATCATACCGTATGCAGTTTCGCTCTCGCTGAGTGTCATGTACCGCAAAATGCGCTATAGTCAGATACCCATGTTTAGAGAGCGTGGCCTTCGCGCTTTCGAGGCCAATACGAAGCTCCTGAAGCAGCTGGGCGAGACGTTCTGGACTGCAAAGACCACGGGAGAGATGGCGGAACGGGTGCTGCAGGAAATGGGCCGGGCCACCGCCTTCAAGAATCAAGAGTCGGGTAAGAATAGTGTGCGAGAAGGTAGCGATCCTCACCCACTTCCGGCCATCCAGACCCAAATCAACGGATTGCCTAGAGGGTTACCCTTGACCACGTTGCCACCCCCTAGCAGCATGGCTACTATGATGCCCGAGGCACCTATCCCCGAGATCGATATCTGGGAACACATCAATCCCCAATTCAACATTGGTGCCATTGAAGCAGCGTTCCAAAATACGCTCGACATGCAGGCCGTGACCTATTACGACTGGGGCCAGAATCCAAGCTGGCCCTTGTGGAACGAAAGACATGGTGTGGAATAAATGGATTGGGGGAGGGGATGTGTGTTTGATCATTCCTTGCATTTTTACAAGGAGCCCTGGGAGCCAATCCGACATGAGACATGAGCAGAATTATACCCCTTTGTAGTCGCGCTTTGAATTATTCTAGCGCATATCAAATTAATTCAACTAGTTCTTACCTCGTTATCTACTCATTCGGTTCGCCGGGGCATGTTCCAGCTATGAATCAAGGTGAACTATGAATCTGCGTCTCACATTGTGACTCGGCGCCTATTAATTGGGCACGCATCTGATATTTATATCTATAAAAAAAAAAAAAAAAAGTCTTTTGTAGCAAGGTCACTCATGTGTAATCTTGTAATCTTGTCATTCATAACAAAATGGTGTTTCTTAATCATGCAACAACAGGCAGTGCAGATTATAAAGAGCAGAAGAGGTTATGCTGGAATGGCTTATTAATTGGTAAAGTGGCGGAATTCCCCACAGTTGACAGACAGCTGCGCAATCAATTCCGCGTTGCTGTCGCACTCAAACCGTCACGACTTCTATTGCCACGCCTCTTTTGTCGCCAAGTCGTTCTTTGGAATTTCCTCGCAGCCGACATACGTATATCTAGAACTTTAGAACCACCGCCATTAGTCGCCAGCACGATGCCGAATCCACTCATCTGGGTTGTTGCCACTGTTCTTATTCCTGCAGCAGTATGTTTACCACGTCTACCAACCATTTTGCACATGGCATCCCGGTACTAACGATTGTGCCTGTATTCAGGAAGGTCTTTTGCAACGAGTAAGCACACGCGAATAGCTGGGGGTTTCTTCTTCTCCCCCTCCTTTCAAAGTTATCGCAGGAGCTGACTTGGGAAACGTCTGCAGCTCGTTCGATCGCCCCAGTTCTACCGCGGCGTCGAGCGCATCCATCGCAAGGTCGAAGACTACAAGCATGGCCGCGACCCAAACGACCCTCTACGGCCCGGCGAAGCGACGCGCGAGCCAGAACACGAGGGACGAAAGGGATTTTTCAAGTATTTTACCGAGGAAATGCGAAACCAGCTTCGGGGGACGCCGACGGAAGATTTGCCGCCACACAATAACAACAAATCCTCGAAGCGAGAGAAATGAAAACTGCGTGAATGCAGAGTTGGGATATTGAACCCGCCATTAGCTTCTCGCCTCTACACAAATGATTTGGCAGTGAGCAGACACGTCGCGCGCGCGTCTACATGAGAGCATCAATAGCGGGTGTGCAAGAGATATGCGCGAACACAGCACGTTAAACAGCACATTGGTGCTCCGGATCGGCCGGCCACTTGGGGGCCACTTTAGGGGGCCACCTGAGGGATCTGCTTGCTGGCTGCTATTGCTGCTAATATTACCGCTTCCGCTGCCGATAAACGCCGAATTCAGCATGTCCGCCTTGCATAATCATCATATCATGGACCTGGGCATAACGCTATGCGGGACCAAATGGGGAAGAGTTGCGGACTCCAGGTATACTGCTCGGAAGCAAACCGGGAAATAAAAAGAAACAAGAGATAACGCCCAGAGCTTGGTAATTCGTCTTGAGCTTCCCTTTGGTCTGTCTGCCATGCAAGGACCTTCGAGGCCACCAGCGGGCGTTACACAATATGCAGATTCTCATGCCCGTAAGGGATTTCCATTCTCGTGCTGGCACCGGCAGTTGGCATGTCGTCTGCAAGATTTGTCGCCTCCCGGCCAAGCGAAAACTCCCAGGAAATTCGACCAATGAATAGACTGTTCGTGGTCCCAAGGGGGATACAGACGAATGCTGCTTGAAAGCTGCTACTGCAAGCAAGAACGCGTGTCATGATGCCATGAGTCTCGTGCCATGAAGATCATGAAACGTTTCATTGCATTTGAATTATAGATTGATCTGAAATACAAGACCATTTTCTCTTTTTGATAATATGCTCATACTCCACTTGAATGTAGCGCTATTAGCGACCTAGAGAGACATGGGACCATTAACTCGATTCTGCTCTTGGTACATTCATGCAGAATGCAAGGAGCTCCGGCAGTGCTCGTCCCTTCTGTCAGCACTCTATGTTCCAAGCAAGGGCCACCATTGGTGACGCAAGGACTGCCATCTTTTGATTGCGCAGGGAGACACGCGGGGTATCAAACAGATCCTGGTTGGATAAACTATCATGGCAGTGCCGTTGATAGGAAAATCTGTTGTCAAAAATACTCATCCCTCCTCGAGTGTCCAAAGGACTGAATAGTTCACGTCCCAGAACCCAGAATAGAGTCATGTAAGGACTGAGGAAAAGGCCATCCCGCTCCTCTTGAACAAACATGCGAGGCCGATGTAGAAGCAAACTTTTCCTTGACCCAGATGATCGTCAAATGTAGACTATAAGATGTATTTGATGGAGACCACGAGAAGTTGAAGTTTTTGAGTAAATCGTGACCAATCGACAACGACAACAGTGAAGAACACCCACAACTAGTTGCTAAACAGACTAAACAGCCCGCAAAAAGAAAATGCTGTTCTTCAATATTATTTCCCCTGTTGCCATTGTTGCATTCACTTCAGCTTTGGTAAACCTCCCCCCAATGGCATGGCATGAGTGACCACTTTGTTAATGAATAATCCTTCCTAACCTAATTTTGCAGACCCTCCCACGATCCACCCATGTCTCTACGCCAAGGTTTCTGACGACGCAGGATATTTACGTAGAGCCACGCGTGAGTTTTGAACAAAACACTTGTAGCATGAATCCATGCAAAAATGCTCCAATCCCAAAAAAAAAAAAAAAAACCTGACTGATATGAAATGACAAAAACAGGAAGCCCCAATTTGCTTCAACGGACAAGGCAGCGTCGCCACAGGGGTCAATGAAGGCATTTCGACGCTGCGGAGCCGCGCTGCCCACGTTGCCAACGGCTTTTCCCTGATCCCCCTGGCGCAAAACGGCGGCCAATGTGTCCGGCTCACGTGCAGCTACAATGTCGGCATCTGGGCTTGTAATGACGCCGACGTGGGTGCGCTGGTCACGTATGAGAATATCGCTCGGTACGCTGAGAATATACGTGATGCTTGCGGTCCTGCCTCGAATGGTATTTGGGTTCATGGTGAGTCTTTCCCCACTTTTAATCCTTTCTAATTTTTGTTTTCTTCTTGAGAATTGATGGACAGTCTGCTGATTGATACAACTCTTGGCAGGCCAGCAGTTTGCTTCCGAGATCAATGGTCTTCGTTGGAATGTCATTGTTGGGCGTGATGATGGAGGGTGTTAGATAGATGAATCTGTCCATTTGTCGTTATGCCTGATTGATTCACTACACGGAGCATGGGATAAACAAGTGTAGAGGGATTGATGAGCTGATGGACATGTCACGACATTTGTTGTTTATTGTCTTCTTTCTTTGGGTCTCTTTAGAAAAAAATGAACATCTGAATTGAAGGAAACCTAGCTTTTGGAGTCTAGAAGAAAGGCAGCGTTGCCAAAGTTTTTCTTATCTACGTCATCTCTTTTTTGTGATCGAGATTTAAACATTATACAATATAACCCGAAAAGTCCAAGTGGCCCAAAATGGCCAACTACTCCTTTATTTCGCCAAGGCCGTTAGTGAGGGGGATCGCTTTATACTTGTTCGCAAATCTCCCCTCTCATGTTTCTCTCATCCACCTTTTTAATCCTTGAAAAGGGAGAAAAATTAAGAAGTGGTGATGAACAGACCAAGAGGGCAAGGGTTGTAGTCCTGGAAGAACCAGAGCTCGGTGTCGCCGCCGCTGACGTCGGCCATCTCAAAGGCAATGGTGGAACCAGACGGGCACTCGAACGACGAGATGTTGTAGGCGTTGCCGGGCGAGACGGTGAACTGGCCCAGGTCCGACTCGACCGAGGGCGCATTGTTGTACGACGTCTCCTGGGTGGCGTACGTGGTCAGCTTGGAGAAGTCGAGGGCGCCCGAGCCGGAAAAGGTAAAGTCGGACGTCTCGAGCGTGTCCCTCGTGGGGAACAGGAAGACGAGGTTGCACGTCTTGCCGGCGTCCTTGGTCTCAATGTCAAAGTTGAAAATGGTGGAACGAGTGGGGGTGATGTCGCCAAAGTAGCCCGTGCCGTTGGCCGTGTCGGGGCTCGAGCTGTCGGTGACAATGATGAGGTGGGGCAGGTTGAACTCGCCGGCGTTGGTCACGGTGCCGGGGCAGGACTCGGGGATGTTGACGGTGCTGGGCGAGGGGACGTAGACGCTCTGGATGGTGCTGGTAGATCCGCTACCCTCGGTGGGCGTGGTCGAGTAGACGGCAGAAGTCTGGGGAGTAGTGACGGCTCCGCTTGTGGTTGTGCAGGGGACGGTGGTGGTCTGGTCCACGTCGATTGTGGTTCCCTGCTGAGAAGTCGAGGACTCGGCAACGGGGACAGTGGTCTGGCTTGACTTGACCGACGAGACTTCACTGGTCGAGTAGACAGGAACAGTCTCGCTAGACTCGATGGACGAGACACCAGTCGTGTACTTGGGCACAGTGACAGTCGAGGTCTTGGACAGAGTAGACTGGAGGTAAGTGGTGCTTCCAATGGACTGGCTCGACTCGACAGGGACAACGGGAGTGGTCGAGTAGACGGCAGAGGTCTCGGGGGTAGAGATAGCTCCGCTAGAGGTTGTGCAAGGCACAGTGGTGGTCACATCGACATCAATGGTTGTTCCCTGCTGGGGAGTCGAAGACTCGGCAACCGGAACAGTCGAGGGGCTAGTCTTGACAGAGGTCACCTCGCTAGTCGAGTAGCCCGGGACCGAGACGGTGGACTGGCTAGACTCGGCGGGAACGACGGGGGTAGAGGCGGCACCAGTCGAGGTTGTGCAGGGAACCGTAGTGGTAATGTCCACATCAACGG